GTGAGCAAAGATGAGATGAGATGAGATGGACCATTACAGAACAAGATGGGACATTATAAGATGAGATGAGATACTTTCGTCTTCTTCTTCTTCTTCTTCTTGATTCCTTCCTCCAGCTAGGTAATTATAGATATGCATTACTCATCCCACCCTGTCCCATCCCATCCCCTTTCATCCAAACCTCCCCACTCCCAATCCATCCGAGTCCCTCTCCCTTCCCCCCATCACCTCCCCTTCCTTCCCATCACCTCCCATCATCACCTCAATCCCAACCCCACAACCGCACCATTAATCCCATCAATCACTGGTTCCAAACCCAACGGACCCAGAATTGTCCATAGGAGTTGGCGTGCGTTGAGAAGAGATGGGGATGGGGATGAGGATTGAGATGGAGGTGTGTTTGTCTAGTTTGTTGTGTTAGTATGGATGTATGGCTGTTGTTGGTGTGTTGATGTATTGGGAGGAGGGGAGGGGAGATTGAAAAAGGATGGAATAGGGATTTACATTGTATTTGTGAAGCATTGGCATCGTGGAAGATGTGGAAGATGTGGAAGATATGGAAGACTTGGATTCGATGGTGGGGTTCTTGGAGGAGTTAGTATGGTTAGTATGGGTGGTATGGAATGGATGGGATGAATGGGATGAATGAGGATCAAGCGAAGAAGATATCTGCGTGGAGACTGGGGACTTGAGACTAGAGACTTACGACGACAGGAGCTGCAATAGCGAGGGGAAGAATGATAGTGGTGATGACGAGGCGTTGAAAATGCATTTTGAATGGGATAAGAATGGGCGAGGGTATTTGTAATGAACAGCTAGCTAGCTGATGGGTGATTGGGGTGATTGTGGTCTAGTAGGAGACTTTGCAGTTGTGAAAATCGAACGAACTGAGAGGATTGAAGAGGGATAATGCTATCGATGGGACCTTCTTAAATATGTTTCTCTCAAGACAATTAATTTTAAGATGAGGAAATTATCATATCTCCCATCCAGCTTCCACGAGTTCGAACCAAAAATTGATCATCTCCACCATCTAGCTTCCACGAGTTCGAGTCAAGTTGGGTCACCTACGACGATGAAGTCCACGAGGAGAGAATGGTTTACTGGTATACTATGATATCTCTGTATATATGACGAAGACATAATGATAGCCAATGGTTGGGCTCCAAGGACATTCATTCCATACTGTTTTCTAGAAATCCATGGTTTTGCCGTTCTGAGACTCTGTGAAATGGGAATCATGAAGTCGTACTAGAGATCTAGTGTTTCCATGGAGAACGTTTCATATGTTTGTGCGCCCGATCTATCAATTGATATTGCGCGAAAAAAAGTAGCCAGGTTGTTTTTTTTGAGACATTGTGATGAGTTACCAACACGATATGTATGGTTGGTTGAACCACTTGACTTATCAGTTTCGAGGTGAAAATCGAAGGATGCCGTTGGATCGATCTTGTAAATGGAGAGATTGAGAAGTCCAAGTGTGACGATCGATCTCGTAAATAAGGAATTTAGGAAGCCAAAGTTTGACAGGTTGTCATTAACAAAGCCATACAAATGATGGAAAACCGAAGAACACGGTTGAAGTTTCTCGAGAGAGAAGTTAAAGTTTGACAGGCGGACGAGTATAGATCATTCCTTGAATTGTTGATGCAACTAACATCGACCATTTCCGAGTTTGTGAGAGAAAACCACGCGCAGAGAAAGTACCCGGCACTGAAGTACATTTCGGCCACTCCGTACCGAAGTTACATTCAAATTACCGGCCGAAATCACCATTTCCAGCCGAGAGAAAAAAGTACAAAAGATCTTGGCAAAGTACCAGAAAATTAAGATTATGACAAAATCATTTCACAGAGTGGTTTTATAAAATTCCCTGTGAATGAAGTGTGTGCAGAAATCCCTCGTGGTGGAGCGCATTTTCAGATAAAATATATAGATCAAGCACGAGACTACTCGTACTTGACACCACAGTATGAATATGAATCAAGACGAAATACCTTCAGGACGCCTCTTTTACCATGAGATTCATCATTGGTGGAATAATGCTCAAGATATGGTAATTGAAAGAGAAGATCAGGAGACATCCCCGATCGATATATAAGAAGTCGATATGATAAATGAAGAATACCGCTACTGTATTCCTTTCAACACTGGGAAGTACCTTTCTTTTGAGGCTTGCGAAGGAAGATCCTTTTAAATATTGGTGTGAGGTGAGTATGTCTGTCTACTCGAATAGATACAGAATCGAAGTTGGGATCCAGGTCCAGCTGGGCTGGCTTTCGTCGGATTAATTCATTGGTGTTTGAATTTTGGAATACCCATACTTGATTAAGCCACGGCTTGGAAATCATATACTCGAGTATAAGGCTAGGATTAATTGCATTTGAGGGGTTCTTTGCTGTAGATGTTGATCTTCAAGGGCATTTTTTTTTTTTTTTCAAAAAGTGTTAATCTTACCTCCCAGTGGTAGAAAGAGATGGCTTGGAAGTCGGTTTGGTATCACAACAATATGAATGCATATGTACTGTATGTATGTATGTATGATATCGAAAAGATCTCCATGTTGTATGCGTCGAGACGCCTTTATTGCTGTTTTACACACAGCAGGGAGGAAAAGGTGGCGATGAAGGTATCTCCTGAATTGCATGGAAGATTTGGATAGGGATTGTGCATATTAATTGAAAGGGCAAAATGGAATTGTGTGAAACGTCGTTGAGGTGGGTTAATGAAGGGACTTGGAAGGATATGTATGATTGTTACAACATATGCGTTTTGATGGAATTGGCTGATAGGAGGAGAAATTGAGAAATTGTTATAAAAGTTTGGTTGATAGATGTGGTGGAACATATGGCTAGAGGAGGAGGATTGAATTTTGATTAATATAATACTCGAGTTGCCGGTAGGAGGATAGATGAAGATTAGTAAGCCGGTATCATCATCATCTCACTACCAGCCATTAATTTGACCATCTATCAACTCTCACTTATCATGAGATTCTCCTCCTTTTTTTCATTACATAATGCAAGAAATCGTCATTATCATATGACATTATCATATGACAATATAATTTCGCAAAAAAGTACCAGTAATATCACATAATCGTACTGTTTGGAAGTATGTTTCTACATAAGAGATAGGGGGAGGGAGGAGAAGATGAGGGGAAGTAGGGTGGGGAAGTAGAGTGGGGTAAGAGGAGGAGGAGAGGAGAAGAGGAGAAGAGGAGAAGAGGAGAAGAAGGAGAAGAGGAGGGGAAGAGGATGGGGAAGAAGGAGCTTGTCTTAAACTTTCCTATATATCATTTGTCTAGATATATTACTATTACACTATTACCTGAAATCTATTAAATACTTACTTACTGTATTTAGCTAATTTACCGGTATTTATTAATTTCTGATGGAGTTTGTATGACTATATGATGTCATTAGTTGCATGACTCAAAAAGTCTTTGTTCACCCCAGATTTTTCCATTCCTTTTCCTTTTAAATGATAATGATCACAAACCCATCTTATCTATGATATCGAATTATATCTCTTATTTCTCTTAATATATAATAACAAAACAACAAATAAAACAGCACTTGATCTATAGTAAAATAATGTCCCAACTAAGGTAAGTTTCAAAATGTTTCTTTGCATCTTCTATTCAATTTACTGTACTCGTATCGCATCATTACCTAGGTAGGTAGGTAGTGGTAGTAGCAGTAGTAGTAGTAGTAGTATAGAACTTAGGTACTGACAACTTGTCTTTTGATACAAACTTAGAAAGAACGATTCAATTGGGACAAACTCAAAAATGGCAAGAGTCTCATCGGAGTCGGACCTCCTCGCCGGTGATTCGTCAAATTCATCAATCCCATATTTGATCGGAGGCATCTCCCTTCTCCATCTCCACAAATTCGTTTCTGAAGTCTTACGAAATTCATGAATGAGCAATTTCACCATTTTATCTCTTAGTTATTTTCTCCAATACATACCTTAGGTTAGGTATTGGAGATAAGTTAAGCAGGTATAATAGAAGTCTTCGCCTTTACTAAGCTTGGAATATCATTACCTTTCTCAATTCTTTAATTCCGCTCGCCACATTATCCAAAGTTTGCCACCGTCGTTGTCAATTCTTCCGAACGAAATATTGGATCGCTTCGATATCTTTCACATATCTTGGATTCAATAACGACAAGCGACAGCAACGGCAACAGCGACAGCGACAGCGACAGCACCATCAACATCAACATTAAGTGGGGCTTGAGCAGCGATAAGTTGAGAGCAATATCCCAGGTGAAGAAAGCATAAAAAGTTATTATACATTGTTATTTCGATACTATTTGAGGACTTGCAAGTCGACGAGAGATATATGAATGCGACACATGTCTGACCTGATGCAGTAGGAAATTTGTGGGAAATTTACCATATAACATCCCATACGGAACCTGCCCGTGGCGGAACGTCCCCGTGTTGCCATGAATCTCGACTCGGCGGCATCCAGCTCGAATTCTGCAGCGGCTTCAGCGCGGAAGGATCGAGGACCGATCGCGAGTCAGGTTGGTGACCAATTCACTTCCCCCTTCTCACCTTCTTCATTCCTTCTTCTCAAGAGTGTTCAATGCTGTATGGCGTTAGGGTCGTGGATGATTCTCAACTTGAGATTATTCTCCACTATTGTGAAGGGGTGCTGACATTTAACCTTTCAAGGCTTGTGATGTTTGTCGACAACGAAAGCAGAGATGTGATGAGATGCGACCAAAGTGTGGTCTCTGCACACGACTGAAGATAGAATGCAGTTATAGGGAGCCTGTGCCGACCAAGTAAGTGCCCCAGGCATATTTTAGGACACTTGATACTGTGAAGGACATTTTGATACGCCTCTGGTAATCTTACCTGCGTTGACCCTGACTGAGAGCGTCATAGGAAAGACAAAACCATGGTTGAAATCTTGGATCGAGTGAAGAGCATAGAAAATAAACTCAATCGACTTCCTCGAGGCGCGGCAGATGCATCAGAACCTGCGCCAACTCAGATATCACCCACCCATCAACCATCCTTTGCCGAGCCTTTCACCTCCCAGTCTGAGGCACAAACGTTGGCAACCTCGCTTTCACGCCCACGTGAATCAAGCCCTGGTCGAATGAATACAAACACTATATATCATCACTTTACTGCCTCTCATAAGGTCTTGACATGGCCTGCCATACAACAACTTCTACTACAAGCCGTGCCATCAAGCCTTGGCGATGTGAAATTTATGGAAAAGGGGTCGGTGTTCATAGTGCGAATGCAGGGTAAAAGACTACCCTTATCATTAAATGTAGACCTGCAAGACAAACCTTTTGTAGGCATGCAATCACTCGCAAATAGGGTTGCTGGAGGCTTGCGAATAACGTTTTCGGGTTTGTCCCGGGAAGCTATGCTTCAATTGGCAACGTCTTATTTCGATAGTTTCAATTTCCTGTACCCCTTCATGGATAGGCAAATTTTCGTTTCTGACACACTTACCAAAGTTCAATCGGAAGGCTTTGATGGAGATGTGGAATCTGTCATTGCATTACTAGTCTTCGCCCTCGGGGAAGTGGCACTTGAAGGGACCCGCGGCGATCCTGTCAATGTTTACCAAGGCCGGCCTAGTGGCGTCAGGGGCGGATCAGGGTCATCTACACCACCAGGACTGGCTTTTTTTAATGAAGCGATGAAACGAATTGGCTGTGTCTTAACTGAATGCAGTCTTGAGAACGTTCAGATGTTTACTCTGACTGCGTATGTCCCAATCTCATAAAATATAAGACCTTCGGACTCAACTAATTGAATTCTTTACTCAGACTATACTATCAATCCTGCTCCCGCCATATGGTAAGTATTAAAACACAAGAAATTTAATGAGTAGCAGTTGATGTGATGGTAGGAATTCTGGAGGGCGATGATGTCTGCTTCATCCGCATGTAATATACTCATCACATCGTTAGCACCCTTTCTTCAATTTTCTCTTTTTGCACTCTCTCTGATCGAACTATAGGGGCAGCATTGACTGGAAGTCTACAAGAGGCGATCTTATCAAACGTGCGTATTGGCATTGTGCCACCATGGAGACGTAAGTATCGACAATGATCCTCCCAGACCCCGTTCATCATACTGAGGGGCGAAAAAGAACCCTACACCTCGACATGGATTTACCACTCACTTCGATGATGAATCTTGAGACGCGAGTTGAATTGCCGCTTTTCCGAAACCAGTTTTGTGAGGCCGATTTCGAGGGGGACCAACAATCTCATTGGCAAGCACATAATTCTTCGGTACTGGCATTACGACGAATATGCGTGCAGGTACAAAATTCAATTATTGAGAGTAAGCAGACAGGTTCGCAAGTTGTATATACTATGATGAATGAAATTAATTCTTTAAATAAAGTGTCCAATATGGACTTTAGCTCCCCGACTACGGATGGCTTCGATTTCTTATCCGCAAGTGGGATACGACAACTTGCATCCCAGCTAACTCAATGGCGCGGCCTCCTTCCCAACGCAATTCAATGGGCCGAAGATGAACCCATGAGTTTTCCGAGCCTACAAACGCCTGAACAGCAATCCGAGGATATCGATCCCATTCTTACGTCTCCTTCATTCTCGCAGGATCCCCGTACTACTCTCTTCTCTACTAATCTGGACGAGGAACCCGTTAGGTATCCTTATGTATATGATATACAGGTGGCAGTGTTGAGAACTAGATATTATTATGCCAAATACACGGCTTACCGACCTTTTATATTTAAGGTCTTGCATTTTCCGGAGTTGGTCACATCGGACGATGCCCTCAATGTTGCGGAATGTCTCCGCGTATGTTATTTCTGCTTTCCCTTTCCCTCCATTCCTAACACTGACACCTAACACCAGTCCTGCCTCCTCTGGCCCCTCCTTCTCTCTCCCCCGTCCCGCTACAAACGCTTAATTCCGTACCTCTTTACCTGGTCCCAAATCTTCCTTAGTATCCTACTCATCGTGCATCTTTCGAAACATAACATGATGCTGAAGAATATCTGCGACAACATGTGTGGGGAGCGGTATCATAGGGATATCGACGAGACAGTGAAACTGATGCTGGACTGGATTCGAGATTTGAAAGAGGCTGATGATCCGATTGCGCTTTGGTGTTGGAACATGTTGAGGGGTATCTATTGGTGGTAGGTCTTTATTCCCGATCCACCAATGTGCCTAATATCCCAAGTTCCAACACGGCCTTTCGAATGTAGGTCCATTCCATGTGAGTGATGTGATGTGATGTGGTGGGGAAGAAGAGAATTTTGGCAGAATGCGTTACACAGATTGCAAGATAGATGGAGAATTGTATGAGAGGGGTGATTCGAGGGGAGAATGGAAGAATGTGACTAAGGTTGGTGCTGTGATGTATACATGTGGCGGATAGTATGCAAGTGTGGACGTATAAACGGTGACATGACATCACGATGTTACGATTATGAAGAGAGATGAAAAACATATTTAAACCGTATAAATTAGGTAGATACACGGAAGAGGGCATAAATGATTGAAGTTGATCAAATATACATGTCTATCATCATGTACGTTGCAAGACATGCATCGAACCCTAATCTAAATTAAAATGGCATATGTAGATGACAGCTTTGCATGGTTGTATGTATGGCGAAACAATCACAACTTTGACTCTTTTCGTCGTACGAATGTATCGTCTAGTAAGTAATCAGGGTATCTTTTTCCTCCGGCCATTCCTCCCGGATTTCTCCCTATTTGTATTTGGTTAGTGAGAATAATTTAGCGAGGATGGAGGAGAAGTAAAAAAAAAAGGGCAGGGTGGGGAGAAATCTCCACACGTACAATTTCCGCCATCAATAACCAAGACTTCTCCATTCACGAAACTGCCTGCGTCGCTAAACAGATACACGGTCCCGTCGGCAATCTCCTTGACTGTCCCATATCTCCCCAATGGATTTCTTCGCTGTGCGTCTCCGCTCGCTTCACTCTCCTTGTCGCCCAATCGTGCCATTCCCTCGGTTCCTTCTATGGGTCCGGGAGTAATCACATTGCTGGTTATTCCCCTGGGACCGAACTCTAGCGCGGCTGTGGCGGAAATGGCGTCCACGCCTGCCTTGGCTGCGGCGGCGTGACCCTGCAGTGCCATTCCGGTGAAGTGGAAGGTGGCGGAGATGAATATTATACGGCCGCCGGTGTTGGGGTTCGAGGCTGTGTTGGGGTGGGCGGAGGCGGATTTTAGGAGCGAAGGGAGTGTGGCTTTGAAGGTGTTGAAGGAGCCGAGAGTGTCGATTTCGAGCACGGTTCGGAAGGCGTTGGAGGAGAGTCCGGAGAGTGGAGAGATGAAATTTCCGGCTGCGCCGGCACTGTTGGGGTGGTAAGGGATTGTTAGATTGTTTTATATAATACATGTGGTATTTAGGGGAGGAAGAGGAGAAGAGAAAAATTCATACATGACGAAATCAATGCCCCCTAATTCCTTCACGCATCTCTCTACCGCACTCTCCAAATTCTGTATATTTCTCACATCCACACCTCCAATACCAATGACTTTCGACCCGGAACGTGCAGTTGATATGGATTTGGCCATTGATTCAGTCTTGGATGCATTGCGTCCGATGATACACGCGTTTGCTCCTAGGTGAACCATGGCGCGGACTTGGGCGGAACATATCGTGCCTGCTCCGCCGGTGCAGAAGACGACTTTGTTATCTGATCAATGAAGAATTAGTATGTGCAAATGAAGAGGACTATGTGTTAGAAATCCATACCGAAGATACCATCGCGCCAGACATTGGAGAGGTACTCTGATCGAGGTAGAGCCATGTTCGTTTGTGTTTTGAGGATGAAGGGATATTTGGAAGATTAAAGCAGATCTGTGTGGTTTTATTTTTAAAAAGATCAATGTTTAATTCAATGATAGATCCTTATATATGAAATACACCCTCGGTAAGAGAAGTCAATTGGATCGAATAAGTAAGCTGTCGAACTGTAATTGTAGAAGAAACTAATCATTTTGAATTACTGGAACTAAAGTGAGACGTGCACTAAAAAAATCCGGGGTTGGAACCTCGGTCCCGGTTATCATCTGATAAGTTCCGGGGATTAAAGTATGATTACATAAACTAGAGCCGAAGAAGTTGATGACAAGGATATTTATTCCCTTAGTCTTTAGTTCCCACTATGCGATTCGGATTGAATAGCCAGACCAGCAACCTCATCTGTCACAACGTCTTCGTTTTTTGAACAACTCCTGAGTAAAGATTTATTTGAGAGGAACATTAATTGATGACAAGATGTCTACAAAGACTGTGTCGACTTTAAAGTTCGTGGGATCTATTTCCCTCGGTTTACTTACTGTAAGTCATTGATTGCATCACCCCACCATAGCTACTTGCCATTCCAGACCTGATAGCTTGTCTATCCTTATCATTATCTTCTTGTCCTCTATCTTCTTGATTATGAATTCAAAGGTCTAATAAGCATCAAATAATAGGGCGTTTCCTATACCCTCTCGTCCCTCACAATCCCCGCTTTCCTCACCCTCCCATCCGCCACCCTCGCATCTCGTTCCTACAGCTCGCTCACTTCTCTCGCCACAACCCACACTCGTGCCCTCACCTGGATTTCCTCATGGTCATTCCTTCTCGCCTTCTATTTCTCCCCTCGAGGACAAAGACACCCGTATCTTCTATGGACATCTCTATTCGCCGCCTCAAGCTCAATCGTTGATAAATTAATCCCACTTGCCATAGGCTCCACCGGCCCACGACGCATTGCACAAAAGAAAAGGTCAAAGAAAGCGATGAGCCCTAGACAAATGGATGCTAGTTACGAGGTGTTGAGCAAAAGTGCGAGGGATTACGAAAGTGCGGGGTTGGCTAGTAGCGAGGAGGAAGTGGATGATAACGTTAATGGGGAGGAAGTGAGAGAGGAAATGGAGGGGTTTATGAACAGACAAGTAATCAGGACGGTGGTTGCGGGATTGGGCTTTGCGATGAGTGTTGTGGGTATCTGGGGAGATGGAGGATTTACCGAGATCATTCTGGTTGATGTTGTGTAAACGGGAGAGAGGGAACAGGACTGGGGGTATGGTTATGACGGACGCTACATGAAGGAAAATATAACGAAGCATATGACAATGATGATAAGGCGAGGGGGTTATTTTTGATGTGGATGGTTGGTTGATCTCAAAGCTTGTATGGGGTTTGGGTTTACTGGTTTATAGGCGCGAATTGGTGGCAAAATAACACATTTCTCTTCTTCTGTTATGTATGGATCCCCAAAGCTCTTTCGTTGGGCATAAAACTGTCTCTTACTTTTTGAATTCGAAGCAATATTTTCTGCAATGAGTCAGTAGCGCGACTTGAGAATTCTGGGAGTTTTGATATGTTTTTTTCAACGGTATTAAGTTCTATGAAGTACATGATATACTCGTACAGTTTGATGAAAGAAAAACCAATGTTATCTATTATTTCGTACAAATATATATCCACACAATTTTGATCTTTCACACAAATAAACTACGGATATTCTTCATACCTTTAGGAGATGTTGGATATTAAAAGACTGCTAGGTCAGTCTGTCTACCGGCCAAAACCCTATAATATTGGGTTCAGATCATCTTACTTTTGCACGTGTCTTGGAACTTTGGGGTTCTTCAAAGTCGAGTGTGCAGTGTGTATGAGAAAGAGGGATGGAGGAAAGGAGGGAGGGAAAAGCGGTTGAGTGAGTGGGTTTTGGGCTACTGCATATCGATTTGGGTGGTTGGTTTGTGTTTTGTGGTGTGGAGTGGAGCGGAGTGAGGAGAGGTGAGGTGAGGTGTTATTTTAAGAGTATTTTTAAGTAGTTTCTTTTTGGTTGGGGTGTACTGGATAAAAATGGGATTTTGAAGGAAGAGGAAGGAGATGGGGTAGATGGGAAGGATAAATTGATTGCTAGCGTGGAATGCTTATGATTTTGGAACTTGGTCTTTTGGGTTAAAGGAAGGAATGGGTCATGGATTTGTGGTTGTTGTGTGTTAGCAGCATATGGGAGGGGAGAGAGGAGAGAGGAGAGGAGAAAGAGTAGATGGGTGGATCGTCATTGGGTAAGAAGACAAGTGGAAGCGGCACCGGTAACCCCTTAACCCTCAAACTTCCCCGCGGTTCACTTCCAAGCTCTCGAACTTTATCGGGGTATGCTCGCAGATATTCAACTTTATGAGGAGTCTTTATTTTAGCAATGTAAATCCCACTACCTTTGCACAAAACTTGGTGTCGAGCTCTTGTATGTCGTCTACAATCCTTTTGCTAACCAAATCATCGCGTAGATATATGCGTATCTTTTCATCAATTGAGGTGCGTTATCAACATATATTGAAAGTCCTTGAGAGGTTCAGAATGCACAAGAATAATTTAAAAAAGTGTATGGGGTACGTATTTAAGGTTACTTCACATGGAACTATATCCGAAAGGAATGTAGCGGCTGCAGCGATTCGGTACCGAATAGAACCACACCAGGCATGGAAGCATGGCAATTTCTGCACAGATTTGTCACGCTTCTTTGATACCAAATCGGCGAGCTAATACAACGTCTTGGGAAGCATACTTCCGCAGCTTTCTGGGAAGAAATTGATGCTCTTAAACTCGTGATTAGCATGGGGTTTGTCAAGATAAAATGACAGAGTTCGTTGCGGCGTTCGATTGGTCATGCATGAAATACGTTGGCGGACGAATATCCAAGGACCTTTACTACCCATCTTTTGCAAGAACTCATCTTCTTCTGTCAAAGGAAGCGCCTCTCTCTGCTTCCACTTTTCGATAGTTATCCAAAGATGAATGTTGGGGGGGGGGGGAATATTAGCTTTAACCTCCACGCGTGCGTGAAACTCGAAACTGCCCTATCCATATTTTACGGGGTCCGTGAGAGCGTGACAACCACATTCTCAATCTCACCCGCCACCAGACGGGCTGTCGTCGTCATCACTTTGCTTACTATGTCCCGAAGTATCAAATTGTCCGATGCACAGTTTACTTTTAGTAACATGAAATGGTTCTCATCCTTGGAATAGGAACAGAACCTCCATGGAATCTATCACAGAAACCTGAGTTGATTTTGGAACTGCATCGTGAACTCCTTCAAGCCCTCCTGGTGCTTGGCTACTGAGCATTGGGAAGGCAGTTTAGGGTACAGTTAGCCATTAGTATTGAAAGATATCACTCCAGGTGATGAGAATCCGCACTTCACGAGACAGGAGCTTTGAGTGGTGTGGTGCAATGCATACTTAACATATTGTTCAAACCACATTAACACACGATCAGCCAATGTCCGACGGGCATAGAGACACATCAAGCAGGTCCCAGCGGGCGCTTGCTTTTCTGTTCATCTGGAGATCTAATCGTTCCAACCAGAATAGATTCACGAGGCACTGTTGCAATCGTAACTCATGGCGCCGGGGGAAGCGACGTATGTCGTTTTCCGATCTAATATCAGCAGCGCTTCTCGTTACTTCTTGAGCTGACAGGAAGTAAGCCTGCAACTACAAGGCTACGAAATCTTTCTCTTACGAGTAATGAGAACCTTGGAGACTTACTTATGCTGGCATAACTTCAAAATGCATTGCGTAGGCATTGTGAATATGGTGAATATCGTCAAGATGCTGAAATCTAGAACTGAGCGAGAACCTCTATGAAGTTTCCGAGGTTTCTTCTTCTTGAAAGATGACTTTGAAAGTTCTTGAAAGCGAGTGACACTCAACGGGTTTTTGACAGCAAAAACTAAGCCAACCGTGCTTACATGTGCGAACAGTTACCTTCCATGTTGCAGCCCAAATTGGGATGGTATACTAACGAAAATATGCAGTGCTCATATTGGTGTACGCCTGTTAGCGCCACTTTTATGAGAAATCTTTCAATGTTCATTGTGGAAGTTATCGCGAGCATTGGGCAGCTTCATTGCTCTTGATACCAAGACTTTCTAATCTGTGTAAAGGAATCAATATTTCGCAATGCATCCTCGAGCCTTCTCAAGGCATTATTGACGATACCACCTGCTGGATTCTTTTCAGTTGCAGCCAAATGGAGCACAAGAAGTGATAATTCCATGCGTGAGGGGGGGAGGGTGGAGGATTTTCCTTCGTGTGTGATCCCGAAATACGACCTTCGCGGCTTCTAATTGCAGAAATCGAGATGGAAGGTGAGGTTATTGTTGTGGACTCCTACTCATCTTCACATGGAAAATAAGATGGTTGTTGGTTGTGCCATCGGTGAATTCTGAACTGGCGATTAGTATCTAGTATCTAATCATATATATAAAGAGTGTGATTTCGGACAGTTTATCCTCTCTAGTATCTCAGTCAACCAGGTCTTTTACATTCTTCTGGGTCTTGTCAAAATTCCCTGATATTCATTATGAGGAAAACATTATTTATTTCACTGGCATCTATTGCCTCGCTTTCTGTGACATGGGCACTACCTGCAGCAGAAGTTGTCCCTTCCGCTCTCGAAGAACGGCAGACTTGTGCCAACACCGCAACAACCAGAAGTTGTTGGGGTCAATATTCGGTATCTACGAACTCCTACACTACTGTTCCAAGCACTGGCGTAACCAGAGAGGTAACATCGACACTTTAAGCCTTTTGTCTTCGTTAAAATCCCAGCTCATCAATGTATACAGTACTGGCTGGTTGTTCAGAACACAACTATCAGTCCCGTTGGAGTCGCCCGCTCGACCCTCAACTTCAATGGTACTATCCCGGGACCTCAAATTACGGCAAATTGGGGTGATGATATTATCGTACACTTTACAAATAAGCTCACGAACAACGGGACATCTATACACTGGCATGGTATGAGACAACTGAACAATGCTCAGTACGATGGTGTCCCAGGAGTTACTCAATGTCCAATTGCCCCTGGAGGCACTCTTACATACAAGTTTCACGCGGACAACTATGGTAGCTCTTGGTATCACTCCCATTTCATTCTCCAATATGGCGATGGACTATTTGGTCCTCTAGTTATCAACGGTCCTGCAACCGCCAACTACGATGTGGATCTCGGTGCGTTGTTCCTAAAATTGGAATCATGTGCCTGTCCAATCGCTCTGGGACAAAGCCAAGACAGGAGCACCCCCAACTCTCATTACCGGTCTCATGAACGGGACAAACACTTACAACGGAGCCGGTAAAAAGTTCCAGACTTACTTTTACACCAGGCTTAAAATATCGTTTAAGATTGGTCAATACAGCGGTAGATGGCCATATGCAATTCTCCATTGATGGACACAGCTTCGCCATCATAACAAACGACTTTGTGCCAATCGTTCCATACAACGCTACCAGTCTTTTAGTTAGCATCAATCAACGATATAATATCATCGTCACGGCAAATGCTGCGGTTAGCAACTACTGGATTAGATCAGTATGGCAAACAGCATGTTCCGGCAACACCAATGCTGCCAATATCACTGGCATTCTCAGATATGTAGGTTCGAGCGTCACAGCTGACCCCACAACAACCACTACGGTTGTAACAAGCACAAGTTGTGTGGACGAACCCTTGGCCAATCTTGTCCCACGGGTACCGCTCAATCCCACTGCTAGTTATATCATACCAATAACATTGACTGCGGCGGGTGGTACATTGTTATTCAATGAAAGTTCTTTATATCTCAATTGGACCGATCCTACACTTCTCACCATCTTGAATGGTGGAAATATTTGGCCCACTGATTACAATGTTATTCCAGTCACAACCACCACAGCAAACCAAGGATGGGGCTGTTCTCGCTATCTCAGGACCCAATGGGTAAGCTTCCCCCACTCCCTCATTACAAATCCCACTAACCCCATAACCTCCAGCCCCAACCATCCCATCCACCTCCACGGCCACGACTTCTGGACTCTGTCCCAAGGCGCCGGCGCCTACACCAGTGCCACGGCGCTCAACCTCGTGAACCCTCCCCGTCGCGACGTGATGACGCTTCCCAGCGGCGGACATCTCGTCATCGCCTTCCAAATAGATAATCCCGGTTCCTGGCTCATGCACTACCATATCGCATGGCACGCTTCCGAGGGCCTGGCTCTACAATTTGTAGAGACGGAAAGTAGCATTGTTTCGAAAATTGGGACGGCCGATGTCACTATCTTCCAGGATACCTGTGCCGCGTGGGACAAATGGGTTCCTACAGCCTTTCCCGCAGGATGACTCCGGAATTTAAGTTCTGTTCTGAAAATGAGAGAATTTGAATAGTGGGGTTAGTGGATGAGAGAGGGTTAGCGTTGTGAAGAATAATGTGATGGTTGATTCTCGAATCAATGAGGACAGTGGATGAACTTCATAATCCCTGCAAAGTTGATTTGAATATTGCTGGTATATGATGACGATCATGATACTAGTTGAAGTGGCACACGAACAGTGGCTTTGATCTTTTGTCGATACTTATTTGCTATGTCACACTATATGTTACGATTCTCTTCTTCATTTCCCTTCACCGAATCTTTTGAAATTTGGGTTTTGGGATAAGCACGTTTAGTGTGTTGGATTAGTTTTCATATGGACTATCGGTGCCTACACCGTATGTATATAGTTCACTTCCTGGTGCGTGGATAATTACTGCTTTATCCAGAAATTAGATTTGTTGTGTCTTGTGGTGACATTGAGCCTCTACCCAGTCCAACCAACCTCGACCTCGACCTCCACTGCTAATTGCGCTGTACATCATTCTAATATACCATCCCTTTTCTCCATCCCAGTAAGTTCGGATATCCAAGCTTGGAGTGGATATTATATCTTCTATCCTTATGCGCCAAATAAAAAAGCTTTTTATATGAACTACGTGCGTAGAACTGACACATTTGACAGAATTAGGCAGGGCAGTGATGCTCGCTATTCACCACAGGCCAAAATATCGGCTAGGTTCACTAAAAGCTCAAACCGCCGCGGACTCTCGACTGAAGATATAAGTAGTCTAGATTTATCTTCTCTAGAATTGCATAACTGAGCTGCCAATCCTTGGTCTAGAGTAGTGGTTCGTGAGCAGATACCCCTCGCTTTCTCGCTTCCAAAAAGAACACCTGATTGAGTTAGGAGAAACGTGGTATACTTAATCAAATAAGGAAAAGAAATAGAGAGATAAATCAAATGATATTATGTTCCATCATTCTCAGTATTGTTTTCCAATCTGGAATAGTTTTATTTTTCTCAGTTGATCTTGGCCGCGATTTTCGAAGCTTTTTCTTGAGCCTGACACAGGGACACTCTCGCCAGCCATATTTAGAGTGGACTCATTCCAAATTGATCGGGGTTCAGGCAAGATCGGTAAGTATTGGGACCGGTTTAAGTATAAGTTGACTCTGAGGGACGCTTTCGAGCTGAGGACTGGATGGAATGAGGATGGGATATAGCTAAGCTTGTATGTTCTTTAAGGTTCCACATGGGATTTTCCCGAAAGGCAACAATAAGTCATCATACTTCTGCCAGCCCTTTTCAATAAATAGAACCGTGAAAACAATCACGATTTCAAGGAAGCGGACTTGCTAAAGATCGCGGACCAAAATCTGGGCGTATTTATTAAAATAAAAAAGGGAGGCAGCTGAAATTGAAGCCAATTTTTTAGTCAAGCAAAATGTTCAATTGAGATCATGAATGACATTTCCTGCAACTGCAAGTATAAGTGCATGTATGCCAGAAAAGTACGAACAGATACTTCCGCTTCTAGTATTCAAACACGGTGTTGTTGAAGCCTCCTCTCAAAATACATTTCAGGATACCCTAAATGTCCTCAAATAGCTCCAAAATATGCCCAAAAGCATAGCATATCAGAAATCGACTCAACCTCGCCATCACTGTTATCAAAACTCCGCCACTTGTGTTGATGGTGCACAGTTCGATCTGGATCACTTACTTCTTGTGTGGGTGGAGAAATGGGAGACACGAAGATTCACGAAAAGTTATACCAAGCAGGCGCGGATCCCCTGGGTTTGAATGAGCGTGAAGGGATAGCATTCACTGCGTGACTGAATAATGCTACAGCCGGTGGAAGGAAACAATGGCATAGGATAGCTGGAGAGCTAGAGTGGATAATGATAGAGATGTCGTGCTGAAACAAAATGTTGGAGTAAGGAGTGGGTGTTTATTTAATTTCTGGGTCTGCAGCAAAGGGTCACAAGAGACAATAGGCAATCTATGGCGGATATGCTGCCTATGCAGAATTCAAACAATTACTTTGATCAATGATAATAGTGTCAAGAGTTTCGTCGTGGGGAGAACTGGTTGCAAGACTTGTGGAGTACTAAATAGCTAGAGATGAATTAGAATAGTCTGCAAACATCTGATTTTTGAATGCCTATATTTGAATAATTTTCTCAAAAAAGCATTTTGCAATAAACCTCTGAACGGAAATGATAATGAGAATATCGCCGTTAAAAACCACACATATACTTGGGAATTTTAATGTCAAATGGCCACCGACAAAGTGATGAAGTTGGGAGAAAATGGAGAGTCTACGGGATTTCTTCACTCAATGCTTTGCCCCGGACCTTGAGCATGGCAAACTAGCAAGATTGATATTCCTTGCATTATTCATCCATCTTGTGATGCGTCACAGCTCCAAAAAAAAACAACTCAATGTATGCTATCAACCCAAGTAGTGATTAAAGTCTACACTTGAATCATACTTATGAGAGACTCTAGACTAGATACCTTAAGATCTTTGCTTCATGAATAAAACCGAAAGATACTATACAAGACAAGTAGTCTACTTGAACCACAATGTTAACAAGAAGCAGTATCTCCTAGAGCCTAGCTTTGTCATAGTGCACAACTGCTCTTTACTCAAGAAGAAATCGCGATGACTTTACTTCCTTGAAGTTGAGGTTTCTTCTTTGGATCTGGGTTAGTTTGTTACAGATAGGTGTCTGAAGATGATGTTTAGTCGAAAGCAGAGTGGGCAACCAATTGCTGACTAAATGATGACTATTCAATGAAGTCTTTGAGGGGTTGGAGGTAGGTCTCTGGAAAATTTTCCTTCTACATGTCTACTCCGTAGAGATGAGTATCCATAGATGTGTATGCATTTATTAGAGTTGTATGTCCAGAGATGATTATTCAGAGATGTGTGACTAGAGATGTGTATCTGTTCCTTAGATCTGTATATCTAGAGATGAGTATCCAGGGATATGTGTCTAGAAAAAGAGTGAGTGTCCAAAGGCTGATGTATTCAGCACTGTGGTACTAGATTAGTGTCCAGAAAGAAATGCCAAGAGGTCAGGTAAGTATATCTCCAGAGATGAGTATTCAGAAATAGTATCTATTCCTTGGAGCTGTATATATGGAAAGTCCAAGGGTTGCGTGTTTAGAGAGATGTGTATTTAGAACTAACCAATTTTTCATCTGATGATCTGATAGATAATGATAATAACTTTTTAATACAACTCTAAGCGCTGGCGGCTACCAATCATGTTCTTCCTTGGAGCAAGCACAGACATTATATGATGACGCTAAACCCTCTACAGTACCTCCTTCCTAGGTAAACACTTAAACACTCCTAAAACTGATCAGAATCAATTATACACAACAATCAATACATATCGCATTCACGATTGATACTCTACTTCTCATTCTATGCAGCAGCAGCAGCAGCAGCAAATAATAATTTCCGCAATTCAATAAATTAGACTTCAATCCTTGTATCAAATCTCAATTTCAAACCCACCCCCAAAAATTCTAGCAATCACGTTGTCCAATACGCAAGGAGCCAACGACGGTCCGTCCGTTGGGCTGGATAATATTACAACAGAGGAGCACGAATTGAAGTTGGAAGAAGAGCTAGATCGTACTCAATCACCACCCCCTAGATACCCTATCTCAGAACCATCGCATTCTACGCCTTCTTCACCACGACCTCCACCCTTTTCTTCCCTCTATACATCAGCTGCCGAAGCTGTCGAGGCTTATAAGGTTGCCGTTACTGAAGCAGGCGCATCTTTATCTATATCTACTGCAGCTCCGGAATACGCTACCGTCGCGTCCAATCGAGATCCTCAAGCCCACGAAGCTTCTACTTCTTCAAGGGACGTCGAGGCAGAAACAAAAGCTGCATTACCGCAGGACACTAAGGGCGAATCCTCAAAGAAAGACGACGAAAACGAACCACCTCCTGCATACTCGGAAGGTTCAAGTCCGCTCGACGGCTTTACATATCTGATGGCGGCCGCTGGAGGAGCTGCGAGTATTATTACTCAAGTGCAGCAAGGTGCAGCACCTATAAATACTCTTGGAGGTAATTTCTGATATTCAATCATCAGATGAATCAATTATTGACATTAGCTAGATGTCGGCGCAGATGAGAACATCACCATGGACCTTCGGTATGATATATATGAAACATATAAATTGAGCATTCGCATATACTAATCTCGTGATTTAGGGGCACTCGGTTTACACTATCTCGAGACGAACTCCTAACACTTCCCGAATTCGTCCTCCTATCACTTTTCCCTAACGGCTTACTACCTGATGGTCATTTGAGTACCTACCATGAAGGAGATGCCTTCCAGGTTGATGTCCGTGATGCTCCGTTATTTATTCGCAATATATTGTCAAATTTAGACATGCATATAGCTGACACTTTCTCTCAGTACGATCCTGCGTCCTTACAATACATGCTCGAATTCTTTCGCAACGTAGCGCAAACGATACCATCGGGTTCGAATTCACCATCCACGGGACCTGAAGCAGATACGATACCAATTGAGCCAATGGCAGGATCTGCTAGGGAGATGTTACAGGATAGAGCTGGCATAATTGTCTTGAGGGAAGATTTAGATTTCTATGCGATTCCTCCCAGACCTGATATCGACCAACCGGAAATGATAGAGGTGAAGAGAGCGGCTGGGAAGGCATTATTGAAACAGGATGGTATATTTTCTGGCTTGAGAAGAAGTGAGGAAACCGGTACAACGGAACAACATTTGATTGAGATGTTGACTGCTGGGTATGTTCATCTTTAGTAATATCCATCATTAAAACGCATAACACTAACATGACAATAGAGGTTTCAACCACGATGATCACTGGGGTCACCGAGCAGGAGAACCAAACAAGGCTGTCATATGCAGTCTCGCATTGGCTCGCCTTCGAACTGATATCCGTGGCAACGAGATGGGTAGTAATGCTGTAGGAATGGCTCAAAAGCTTCTGCTTTTCTGGAGAAAACCTGCGAGAAGATGTTGGTGGGAGGGTGTAGAGTTGGAGAATGTCGAAGGTGTGGATGGGAAATTGAAGGTGTGGATTCGAAGAGTATGGACGTTAGAGATGAGTGTGATCGGCTTGCGCTGATGATATCTTTCTCCCAAAATTTCCTTTGTTTTCATACCCTACAATTTGTGTGTTTTTCTTCCAGGAAATATATTTGGTTTGGCTCGACGTCTATACGTTCAGTGGACAAAGCTCAGTGGACAAAGCATGAACGGCCTCGAAAATTAAAGGGGCTATCATCGAGTAATTTGTTAGACTGTCGATCATCCATAATATCCTGCTGCGTTGTCGCATTGCCTTTCTTCTTATAGCGGTGCAGGTGTTCGATTTATTTGGGGCAAGGGCGAGCTTGTGTATGGGATTAGCACAGCTGTTTTTTATTTGTGTGATTTGGTATTTGGTTTCATGGTTGTTTGCGGGTTGTGGTCCTTGTGGATGAAAATTTACAGTGTAGATCTTGCATGAGGAAGATTGGTAGTTGCATGGGAGGATGAAGGGGATGAATATGGTTTGAGTAGTGGAAGGCGAGGTACTGATGAGGAAAGTGAGGGTGAAGAAAGATGAGGCGAGAGAAACTTGTACACGAATGAGGTAAATTGGTTGCAGTGGATACGTAATATAGAAAATGATACCTGTTTAGTCTCATTGCGATGGGGGGACACTGTGCCTATCTGCTTTCACTTTAAAGCTAATGGTTGTGTATGTGTGCAATGGTGTTGAGTTCGGTAATTGAGTTCGGTAAGTGATGTTTATGGTATATACTTGGTATTTATATCACTGCTTCTAAATATACACCGCTAGTACACATAATACATTCGAGATCCTCGACCATCACGGTGATAAAGGACTCAAGTCAATACTCTTATAACTTACCTCACTCCCTAAAGGGTTTTATCTTATCTGAGGTGCATCAGATCTCGTATCAAATAAGGACATTCTGAGGCTAGGCTAGTCATCCTCTGAGTTCTACCGTTACCATTAGATTAGTCAACATGCAGTTATTCAGAGTGGCCAATCAGTCAGTCAGTCAGTCGGAATTGTAATTCCAGCTGACTCGCTGATGATATATCATCATCGCCGCTGACTCGCTGATACTGCTGATTAGCTACTTGTCAGCGAACACATGATCTTTATTTAATAGTAAAATATTGTTTCTTCCATTCAATACCACCCCCCTTCATTCCCCCTCCTTTCCTCTTCTCCCCTTCGATACCCCCTCCCCCTTCCCTTCCTTCAATATCACTATCCAATATTGACTGTAGCAGTAATATCTCTCTTTCTCAATATGCATGCAGCCCGAGGTGAAATGAATGAGCGGGGATTACAGACAAAACGGAAATTATATTCCTTCATAATCTTAGGAAAGTGATCAGATAATATAAACCTATCGATCAAATATCGTTGAGCCTTTATTCTCCCCATTTGCCTAGCTAGACTAACGCGATCATACCCAGCTGTCTTTCTTTATCACCGCATCCATACCACCTCTTACCATTTTGCTCGATCTCACTCACCCCCTATCTCCCCTTACTCGACTTTCACCATTTACCCCATCAATCTCATCTCGCATCCCTCTCACCCTTTAACCCTTTCACCTTTTCATCCTACCCCCTTGAACTCAACACCCTTACCCCCTCAGCCCTCCAAGTTCTAACCCTTCTTCCCCCCACTCCCCGTCTTAACCACCACCCAAATTTCACCGGTAGCATCACTACTAACAAACAATCTACCCAGCGTATCCAGTGCCATACCCACCGGTCTAAAACAATTACCGGGGCAAAAGGAAGAGTTGGAGTTTGTAATGATGTCGGTGGTAGAGGTGGTGGATGTGGAAGGGGAAGAGGGGAGACCGGTGGCGGGGTTGAAGAGAAGCGTCGAGATGCGGTAGCCGACTGGGGGGGTGGTTTCTCTGAGCGGGAGAGGAGAGGTTCAGTTGGGTTTGGGGGAGAGGGAGGGAAGGTTATGGTGAAGGGGTGATGAAAGGGGAAAATGGAAAAAGGAGATGGAAGGTAAGAGGGAAGGAAAGAGGAAGGGAAGAGAAGAGGGAAGGGACATACAAACTACCATGAAAACTAACAAAAGCTTCTGTTCCATTTGCCAAAAATATAATATCGAGCCTATCATCACACAGCAAAGTCAGCTTTACAATTACAATTTCCTTTCCCCTTACCCCTGCTACGAATAAACGAAACTTAAACTCACGGAGCCGAATGCGCCGCGAACGTCAACTTCGGCGCAACATGCGCCCCCGCATCATTACACCAAGTATCATTACTGGTCGAATTCTGCAACATGCTAAACTGATTCCCGACCACCAGCCCGCCCCCCACATCACTCGTATTCCACACCGCGAAACAATAGGGGTATCCATAATTCGCTCCTTGATTCACCGTACTTCCATTGAGATAGCCGTGGAAATTCAGCTCTTCGCCAGGATTATAGAGATGGATATCGGTGTTATTGCGCGTGACGTTTCCGGGGCCATTTTCGACCGTGTAGATGCCGCCGAAGAGGGGTTCTTCGGCGAGACCGACGGAGTTGCGGAGGCCCGAGGCGAGCAATTTGCCCGAGGTGGTGAAGTTGTAGGGGGTGGGGGTGGAGGTGAGGTTGAAGGACTTTAGTTGGCAGTGGCCTGTGGATGTGGTTTCGGCTTCGGTGTCGATGCTGAGGGATGTGCCGCGGGAGATGAGGAGTTGGTTGGGAATGAGTTTACTGATGAGGAGGGATCGGGTGGTGGCATCATCGTTGGTCACTTTTGGAAGGGTGGGTTTAGGGGGGGTTAGGGTGATGGGAAGTGGTGGGGGGTGGACGTACTGTTTGTTACGATGGTTTGATTTGTGCTTCCTACTGTGCCGGTGGCTGCTGTGTAGCTCCACGCATATACATTGTTGCTCGACGAGGCATACAGAATTTTCCCATCGTTGCTCAGAGCCATTCCATGGTTGAGCTGTAAGTACATTAGCATATAGCATATCACCACGAGAAGAGAACTCTTTGGCACTTTTATAACAGGAAATAATACACCTACAACAGTAGAACTAACGACGACAGTCTGTACTGGATTCTGCAAACATGTACTCCCGTCATCAGTCCATTTTATATGAGCAATACCGACTCCTTGTTGCAAGATCAGAAGAGCTCCATTGGTATCGAAGAGAATGGTACGGGGTTTGGTTAGATTTCCAGCGATCAATTGGGCAGACCATCCTGTTGCGAGGGAGGGAGCAGGATATGCTGGTTGGAGAATCGTTGGGCAAACAGATAGGACCGAGGAAGTGAAAATGCCAAGCAAGAGGGCGAGTTTTGATACTGAGAGCTTCATGACGAGGACAATGGATTTGAGTTTAGAAGATAGAGATGGAGGTGTATGTAGACTACCGCAGTAGTCTTTGCAACTTATCGAAATGCATAGCAATACTTAGTGTTTTAACAGCATATATGTCTTAATAACGGTGACAGTGGACACTAGAATGTGACTGAATGAGACTTCTCATAGTTACACAGGTACATCATCACTGTTGGATGACATTGGTGTTCGAAACACAATATATGCATACATGCCCAGAAGCAGAACATATGAAGTTGAACGGTTAATATTGTGTGTATGTTCTAAAGTTATTGACAGTCCAAATGGCAAAAGGATTCGATATGTCCCCAAGTTTAGGTGACTGATTGCCAAACCACCTTTGCCCAAATTTAGCGATTGCTTAGGTGTACTTTTCCAAATTTGAAAAATCAAGGGCAACCCATGGACTGTGACGGCGTCATGAAAAATTTCGATTTCTGATACCATCGAAATCGACGTCACGATCACCATCTTCACCGCCATCTTGCACAGAGCCTCAAAATTGCTCCCTCAACGGATTCAAAAACGACTTGAAACAAACGCGGGTATTTAGTAACCTCCTAGCACGATGTCAAAGCAGATTGGAAAATTTCTAAGAAAATATGGAAGGCACTACCGGTCGATCTCATCCGTGCACAACAACCTCACGAGCTTCCAATGTCCTCTCAAAATACTTACTGTTACTTCGATATCGGCATTGACTAGACAAGGAACTTCCCGCCCGCTTGCTTCACAGAAAGGGTGGGATCGTCGAGGCTCGCGCACCACACACTCAATGTCGAAGAGGTGACAAAGGTACATGTGCATATGAAAGTACTATGCTCTACATATATAACCCTTGACCGAGTCAAAGCCACGCGAATTGGGTATGCTGTGTTTAAGAAGGCCATGTTTGCGCGAGAACTAGACCGTGCTGGAGAGAATGAAATGGGAGTATGGGACACAGATACTATATTCTGTACATCGAAATTCGTCCGAAGGGATTTTCTGGCTACATTTTGGTAACGTCTAGAGGCTTTGGAGACTCGTAGAATGATATGTACTGTACCTGGTAAATGTAACGAGTGATACCCGAAGAGCACGCAAGACGTGTGGATATTGAAAGCTCCGGATTGGGGTCTGCGGTACGTGGGACTGAGGTGAGTTGGGACGGGATCGATGAATCGGGGAAACAGAAAGATATCCATGATTAAAAGACCGTTTGTTTTCGAAATTGTATATTTTGAAAGAGAATGAGATAAAGATCCGAAATTCGGTAATATCCCTCATCGGGAACTCTTAAGTCTGATCAACGATAGATACAGATGATACCTTGGCACTGGCTGCAGAAATCATCCTGTACGCATTTTCCATCAAATGTCGTGTTTCCCATCAATCTTACAGTCCATAACCCAGGAACAAATGCCCGGAAATACAAATTGGTAGTAACATAGCAACCATACCATTCATTGCAAGACCTTGGACGAAATGTGTCGCACGCGTGGTAGAACAATCATGTGATAACACAACTCCTCCATGTCCTGCCCTGTGGCTGCCAAGGCAAAACCGCAAAACCCCACTTCAACAACCCGGCATGGCCGATGTTTACTGTGCCCCCTGGAAGGATCAATTAGAGGTGGAGTTGAATGAAGGCTTCTTCAATCTTCACCTGACATGCATCCATCCTCTTTAACTCTTTCGAACATATTTATGAACAATAGAAATAACGCCTTTCCAAGCCATGGAGCTTGAGAACTGGACGAAAATCAAACGATTGCCTCTCCAACCAATCCGTTCGTTCATTCATTTGCTTGTTCCATCCGTTCATTCTACTCGAGTATACCTACCCACATTCTTCCATACATCGAATCCAGAAAAGGGGCAGCGGTAAAACAAACCATCAACACAAAATCCGACAGAGTCTCGACCTCTGAATATTTGACACGTCAACAACCTGCAATTTCACTCCAACTCTTCCACCCAAAGAGTACAAAATATTCCCATGACAACGATGTGGTGGATTATTCATTTCCCCAGAATTTCAATACAGAATAATCGGAAGATAGGGCTATTCAACCAATAAGCATGCTTTGAAGCCATCAATGGGCGGAAACTAACGATTCTCTCGATGCAAGGAAGGGAGAGATGCATATATATTTGCTTATTATTAGAAATATATGACGCAATGCGCGCATCTTTATTGGATTGGTCGGTTGATGAAGCTGCACGAACTCTTGTGTTGCATGCTTAATTTGAGGTATTGGTTGGTATGTGGCTGTTTTGGAAAAGGCAGAATGAAAAGATATATGGAGATGGGAAATTGGGAAATTGGAGAGGCGGTGATGGATGCAGCAGGTAGGTAGTAGGTTTAAGGAGTATATCTGACGACGATGAGGAATTGATTAAATTGATTTGCGATATTAATGAAATTCATCCGATGAAATCAGATCGAAATTGATTATTGTACAGTACTTGCATTGATATATTGACAATTCTACAATTGGTAATGCTATAAGATCGAATTCATTCAGTTCATTCAGAGATTTCGAAATGCATATATCTTCATCCCTATCTATATTATCCTCATCATACCGACTCATCCCCAGAGATACAAATCCCACAAATTGCAGACCGTGACTTCTAATCCCCCAACCAAATCCTAGCTTCCTAGACTAGATATACCTATATACCCATATACATACTAGATATACATCGCCGAAGTCCCCATTATATGCAATACCGGTACAGTATAGTACAGTACAGTATAACACAGTAATCAAATCTATACCTAAAATCCATCAATACAAATATAAACACGCTTCACTTCGTATTATACCGTGGGAATCTTGCGTGCATATGTATATGCAGACGGGCTGCAGATATGTATGTAGTGTAGTGTATGGAGTGAGTACAGTACTAGAATAAGGTGTCTAGGTAAGGCTATCCAGTGATTTTTCCATGTAGACATAAAAATGTGAAGAAGTTGGATATTGTTAAGGTTTGTAAAAGAGAAAGATTTTGGTATTGGTACTGATATCTATCTACTCAATACTATTTTCAGGATGGATGGACAAATGCGAGTAATGTAATGCAGCACAATCCCATGGCGTTGCGGCTTGAAGTTTGTGGTGCTGGGGGAAGGGAGGGAAGATGTCAGATATCAAATTCCGGGAGAGGAGAATTATATGGAAGGATAGACCTGGTATGGCGGCAGAATCATATATAGGTAGGGTTAATATGTGTGAGGAACCGCTCAGAGTATTGGATACATATGATATACATATCCTCAAAGTCCAATTTTCTTTCAAGCAGATCTGCAGGAAAGGCAACTCGGTCAGAGATAGTATAGATTGAAGGAATCAGTACCATGTACTTGTATATTGGGAGGAAGAAGTGTGCAGCAGTTGTTTGTAAGGAAAATGTCTCGCGATTTGGGAGATCCTGGGATCCATATCATAAGCCACATCTGATCTGTTCGTGGTAGGGGTTTTTATGTCATGTTCCTTAGGTTCTTAGCCTTGTTTTCGTTTTATATCCGCGAGAAGTGGAAGGGAAGGTATTTAGGCCCTTGTGTCATTTCTCATCTGTACCTCGTCGTCGATATCAAAGTGTCCTCGCCATTGAAGGTACTGTAGATAGGTACTGAGAATTGAATCTTTTGACCTACAGTGCTGTGTATATAAACCAACCACCGATTAAATCCCAAAGCTATTCTTCAGCAACTTGCTAACAAGGAGTATCTAGGAACTTTCGATTATTTGATATATGCAAGCAGCAGATCAAACGAAAGCCATCAGCTGAAAAGCCCGGCGCATTGCCTTATTCCATTCGCTTGTATATCATCTTATATCGATCAGAGCCAAAGAAATCTTGGTTCGAAAAAGATGGCGACATGCAAATGCAGGCAGGGACAAGGTCAAGGGTAGCCTGGGTGAGAAAGAAGGCTGTATCGCAATAGGCGGCACCTTGCATCTACGCTCATTGATTGGATAAATGAGAACACGCGAATCTGTCAACAAAACAATGATAGGGAAGATGGATAGATAAATGATTTGTTTGTTTTCTTTTCTTTTCTTTTCTTTTGGGTATCCTCCAATGCAATGCGATGCGTTGCAAGTAAGGAAGCAAGCAACTAATAAGTATCTACTGTAGGTAAGTTCCCGTTATGAGAAACTAATGAAGTTCATTGGGGGCATGCGGATCAAACGAAATGGATCCATTATTATATTGACCATATCCAGGGACTACCTAGCCACTGTCACTTTTTCATTCTTCGCCTCCCCCTCATTGCTCAATGATTATTCACAACCCCTCACAAGAAGAGGGGTTGAAGCCTGTGCATCCCTATGTCCCTACGTTTGCATCCTAAGTAACTAATTGTTTAGTTTGTAACCTGCACAGCATCCAATTGTGCAGCCAGCCATTCGCAATATATCTCACCATGGGAGACCCTAGTATATTGGTCAGAAAGTGGCGGCTTTGAACACCAAAAGAGGTACTCGAGTAAAATCATAACAAAGACTATTGTCTCTAGAAGATATTTACTTTTTCTACAAACATCACCCTTTCCGTCTCGGCAGGACGGTTATCTATAAACAAGGAATTGTCTTTCTTGCTATTCATTGATTGATTGATTATTAAGAACAATAACAAGACCAACCTCATTGATTCACTTATCCCAAAAGAGAACGCTCATCTAGAAAAGCCTTTAGCTAGCTAGCTGCTGTATGGCAGCGGAGAAAGGATGTTAGCGTAGTATTAGTCGCCATCTGAAACAAAAGCGACCGTGTGCAATCAATCATGCTCTTCTTCCATGATCCCCGCGAAACATATTTGCGTACACACGAATTAGAGGCACTGACTGCTGTATACTGTAGATAAAACCTTCGGATGAAGAGATATCCAGAAGATTATAGTATATACCGATGCTGACCGTAGTATTGCGGGTTGATACATTAAGAGCAAGCACCTGGGTATATAATATCAAACACAAGTAGCAAGCAGCAAGCAACTTGTTCTTAATCTTGGCGGGGAGGCTCTCCGTTGTGATACAACCGCAGCCCAGATGCAGGAAGCTAATATACTTGTCGGGTTTTATTTGATTGTATTATCATTATAGAAAGTTGAATCAAAAAAAGAAAAAGGAATTAATGAATGAATATATCGTATACTAGAAATGGCTTCATCACTTTGTTTGTTTATTGATTTGTGAACGAGATCTATCTATCTATCTTGGTAGTACCTTGACATTCTGATAACCCCAAGATATCACTCGCTTGTTTCAGGATATAAAATAATGGAGAGAATTAAAGGTGGAGATCTTTTCCCTTTCTCTTCAAACTTAAGGTCTGGCCGGCCCTTTTTGATGCTATCGAGGTTTCAAAGTACTGATATTTTCAATATTTATGAGATGATGCTTGGTTAAAGCCTCAACTTGATGTTCAACAATATGTTAGTTCATACTTTTTGTTGGCAGTCTTGAAAGGTATCGAAACTATTCAATGCATATGGATTTTGAAGGTTAGTCTCACTTCGTTCAAGAACCCCCCTTTTCTAGATATCGGCCAATGATGATTGAAGATAGGTGCGGGTAATGATCGCGTGATTTGGTTTTCCCCTTTTCTCCCGGGACGGGCCAGGCCAGGGTTCTAGGGTCAGTAACTAAAGATCAATCGGAGAATAGTAGTTGTAAAAATAGTACCGGTAGCTTGACATTTTGATGATGGATATATTTGAAGATATATTGCTAAGGATCATCTTCTCTGTATGAGATGGCTATAGCAGTAAGAAGCCCTTAAGCTTCTTCTTATCCCAGGTTTGAATCTCGTTGTTAGGGCTAACTCATGTTAGGGCCAACTCAACTACTTCATAAACTGTGTGGAGTATATGTATACTTGAGAATGATATATACCAGGTACTCACGTTTATCGACAGGATACCTGAGTACCTTATTGATTTGAATTGAAGCTTGGATAATATAATCTTGACCAATAAACAGGTATATTTTCTCTTTTAACTCTCTGTACCTTGGTTTTAAGTTGGCTTGAATAAGAGACAGGGAAGGACTTCCTACTTAAATAAACGCAGGTCGGTAACCCTATATCCAATTAGACCCATTTATTTAGCTTTTACTTGTAAGTTGATGCTTGTCTAGCCCCATTGAGAAGTCCACTAGAGATCCATAATTATGGTTTTGCCTTGGCAGATCTAGAAAGACTAATGAAAACAGAAGCACTTAAAAATAATAATAATAATAATGTAAACAGTATAAATCTATAGAAGAACATCATGCCTGATCTACCTCCAGAATCCAGAATTAGAATTCACTTACTAGGTATTCCCATTCAAAACAAAAGGGTCGGTCCCATATTCAAATCAACCGAAAATCCAGCGAACCAAAAGCCTTTCGCATACTGAAAACCGCATTGCCGCATACCGCTGGTATTGCTCCTGTCCTTTGGTCCTTTGAAAAAGTCCATCATTTCAGCTTCTCACCAATATCATTCATACACCAACCATAAACACCCATAACGCGGGGGATTCATATTCATATATTCAATTCAATTCAATTCCTCAGTCCTTAAATTCTAAGCAACGTTCAATTCATTACGTTTGTAACTTTACCTTATTACACTCTTTTTCTACTATACCACAAGTACCCATTCAATTCACTCAACTCAGTTCAGTCAATTTTTCCCTTCTTTTGTAACATTCGAGAAAAGAAAAAGAATTGTACTACAATTACATTTACCTTACCCCTTCTATCTTTCAAAACATCGAAAAAGAAAGAACTTCTATCATCTGAACTTTATAGTGTTTATTTACCTACCTTACGACTCTCGCGTTTTGGAGCAATTAATCCCCCCCCAACCCATTCCTTCTGAAGATACCGATACCCTCCCTCCACACCACTTCAACCAAATCTTCCTCCACCACTCTCACTACCCATAACGATAATTTCCGTTTTGGTATGGAATTCTTACGATGCTCATGAGGTTCTTGACGATTACGATATTTCCTCCGTCACTTCTTCTCCCTTTTGGTAGTGGTGCAGGCAATACTGAAAGATGAAGACCATTCCCAGTGTAAGTTCGCATCTACATTCTTTAGTCTGATATCTTATTGTTCCTTGTTCAAGGTCATTCATTGGTCTCCTTGCATGAAGTCTCGACACCTTTACAATCTTTGGTTCATCTTCTTAAAAGTTGTATCTTTCAAAACTAATCTTTGTTCCTCCTTTTTATAGCTTGTCGCTTCAAGTACCGTTGGTGTTGCAGCTGCTGGCCTGGCATTGGGACGACCAGACCATTCGACTCCCTCTCGCACTTCTTCTTCCAAGAAAAGGAAACCAAGAGACATTATTACAGATGTGGAAAATTCTTCTAATTTAGGAACACCCTCTACCATCTCACGACCTCCTACGAGTTCTACCATGGCCACTCCAGAAAGTCGCAATACTCTTGATGCGACGGGTTCTTCATCTGCCCCCCAGACCTTAACAGCATTCCTTCGACGTCCCTCAAATGCAAGACTCGATTCCCCAACAACATCGCAAAACGGCGCTTCGCGAAGATGGTCACTCCTTAGATCTGGTGATGGGTATAACGATAATTCCGGGGAGGAAGTTGTTAGGGATTCTGTTTCATCTCGTGGTTCCTGGATGCGGAAACTATCAATACCATTATCGGGAAATAGCAGTCCTAGATCAAGTATGGCACCCGAATCGCCTTCTCTTACATTCTCCCTTGGTTCCGCGACACCCATACTGTCATCCCCTCGGGACAGCCCGACACAATTACCCCCAAACAAACTGGTAAAGAGGCAAACACCGGAGAGAAATCGTAGTGGGACAGTTTCGAGTGGATCAAAATCGCAGGTACCAACCTTACGGAGACCAGCTACCAGTCATCAACGTTCGGTAACGCTGCAGCAGCGATTCATTGAAGATTCTCCAGGTACGAAAACACAAGTGCGTCCCACCGCCCCAAGGCGGTCAACAGTATCCACACAAGCTACACCATTGAGGAAATTTAGTGAATCACCTCGCAGCTCATGGCGTATGTATTTTAACCCCCGACCAACCAAAGTAGCTAAAGAACGATCCGGCGGAAAATCAACGGATGAGAATGCGCATAACTTTCATTGGATCTCAAAACGGGTTATGCCAGATCATACAGTCAGACCGACTTTGGTAAAACCATATCTAATAACCGTTTCAATTCAAGAAATGGAAGGATATTACGACGAAGAAGGAGTTCCTTGTGATGGCCCAATTGACGAAAGTACAGTGGAAGAATCCCCAAGCTCACCTTTGGAAGAAGATAACCCCGAAGATCACAAGCCTCCCAGACGATCACTCTCCATGCACTTCAGCTCACCTACCACATGGATATCTAGGACAGGAAGCTTGAGAAATAAAAAACGAAGTTCGCAATCCACACAGGGTGGCAGGCGCCATGTGTCTGCACCTCTACCGTCGAATACAGGAAGGGTTTCTATTTCTGCAAATGGTGCTACTCCACATCGCCCTCGGCCAGTTATGGATCAAATGATTTTTCAGAGAGATCCTCGCTCTCCAATTGAAGACTTCTCTCCCGTGTCACCAACGGATCCTTTTGCACCTTTCAATTATGCTCCTCGAAGGAATACATCGTCGCCATTACCACCTCTCAACCGACTATCATCGTTTAACCTAGATCTAGCTCGTTTGGGCATGTCGTCATCCTCATCGTCAGCCCCACTACGAAGTCCTAGTTCACCCCTACCAATGTCTAGTACTGCTGCAACTTCTTTCTCTTCTACAGTTCCTTTCTCAACAAATTCTTCATCGTCATATTATGGCACCTTGAGTTCGAAACATGGCATGTCAGAAGTGGGAGATAGAGCTTCGACTTTGATTGGTTCAGACAATGAGATGAGAGGATTTGCATCAGGTGAAGATGAAGATATGGATTTTCAAAGTGAGACAGTGTATGACTCACTTCGGTCCGGAGCCACAAGCAGTTTGCGATCCCAAAATACGCCCCTGGACTCAATGTTCGACGAGTCTCCTCCAAACGTCGCAAATGTCAACGGACATGCGAAAGCCAAAAGACATTCAATTCACGAGCTCATGGCTAATGGAGCCTTTGGCGAAATTGAACATCGTATTATCGAAGAAGATGAAGGTCAAGCAACACCAGTGAAGATCACAAAAGTTCCTTCCGAGCTGGTTATCAATAAGTCGGCACATCATATAAATGCACATGACATTGTCCCCTGCTCGCCCCCAAGTTCTTGTATCGCTTCGAAAGATTTCGCCACACTTTCCTTGGATAATGATGACGAAGATGAAGATTGGACTCGAGATGAAGAGAACGACAATATGGAAGCCGGAAATCAGCTCTCACCTCCAAATGGTATGACTGGTCGTCGGGTCAGTCCAATAACCCGAGAAGCCCTGGCAGATGTTACCCACAGTGGTTCCACAAACGGTAATCATTATGCTGAACGACCCAAGAGCAATTTGTTTGATTGGTCTGAACCATCTTCATCGGAGAAAGATCTGCTTGGCAGTTCCGCTCGACCTAGGACAGCACATGTGAAACACCTTGCTCTCAATGGACGAGGTGGGCGAACTGTTGGACGAAAAGGCCCCACCCCACTGCATATCAGGAGTCAAAGTGTTCCTGTAGTTCCCGATCTCAATAATCAGCGCGAGCACACAAAATTGACACCAAAATTTGGTACCTGGGGTCTAGGCGCGAAAGGGGTAAGCGAAGACTGGGATAATGATTTCGACTTCGAAACCAACGATGAGGGTGGCTTTGAGGATGGCGATGCGCACATTGAAAACAGTGTGATGTTCGTTCCTCCAGCAATTCAAGCAAGCCAAGCAAATGTCGTCGGCCATGTTGGGCAGATTCGAGAAGTGTGCCTACTCGTCGAAGATCTCAAGAGGTTGCGTCTTTTGGCTCGAGAGAAAGGCTTGATAAATGGACCGTCAGCACAATTGTGGAAGGAAGCCGAAGGCATTATTGCTCTAGCTGTTCCTGATGAGGAGGATCCAACTTTATCACCTCCTCATTCTCCGATGTCTATTCCCGTCGATCAGGGCTTGAGCGATAAGTTTATTGATCGTGGCCCTGATGCAGAGGATGTCGCTATGCCAGATGTGCCAATGGAGGTCTTGAACCGTTTTGGCAAACCTTCGGGGTATGTCTACGATGGCAGTACTGTTCGACGACGTTCGGTGTTTTCGCCTGAAGATGACATCTTTGGAGTCGGAGCTGTCGTACATAACCCTCCCATCAGAGATAGCCTGCGTCCTCCATTGAATCCTGCTCGTTCCTCGAGTGCGAAGACCGCAGCTGAAGTTGCTCGAACAGTCATGGAAACCATGCATCAACACCGCTCTACTTCGGATCCTTGGCTATCAGATATGGTTGAGCAATCTTCAAACAAAATGCCATTTGACACAACCAGTCTACGTGATCTAGTCCATCGTGCCTCTGTTTTGAGTCGAAAACTGGCCGATATCATTCGTGAAACCGATGGTACCATTCAAAGTCCAGTGTGTACACCCCACCGCGAATCAAGTCCGGCCTTCACTCGAGTATTCACCGATCCAATGTCATCTCCTCCTCCAAAACACCTCCCCCGAAGTCATAGCAACAACTCTATGCTCAATGGCTCAATAAATTCTTCACCAACAAGAAGTTTGGGTCAACGAATGCATATGATGACTGTTGTTTGATACATTGCCATTCACAACACATAAAACAAACGTTTCACAGAAGACTTCTTCTTGCCGACTCGACTTCTTGTACATATACTACGGCTTGACTCATACTGACCTTAATTTTCATTTCTGCATAGCGACGGGTTTAACTTTTCATAAAACGTTCTGTTATTGACTTTTTCCTTGCGACTAGCATACATTTCCAAGATCTATTTGTCCACCGGAGAATGCTTCTTTTAATGGCACTCGCCTTTCATATCCTTGCATTCATCAATAAGCATATGTCACTCTAGCAGGAATGCATTGAAGAGATCAATTCCCGACGACGGACTAAAATTCATAATGTTTTTCTTTTATTTTTCTTTCTGCTTCTCCAGATGCATCAACGGAATCTCACGAACGGCATACACAACACACCAAAAACCAAATGAGCTATTGAGAAACTGAGAACAATTTCGCTACCGAAGTTCTTTGGATCGAGAGTTTTCTCATTTCAAGCTGGGGCTTTTCTCTAATTCCCTTTCCGCTCCACTTTCAACCCCTAATTCTCGATGGTAGACATCAAACGGACACAAAATAGTGCACCTTTGGCGGCGTTAAGGGTACAGATAAGAGAGATGGTGGCCCTGTATGAACAGATTATATCAGTGTACGAAATGATGAGGGAGATGAGATGAGAAGAGTAGGGTGGCTCTTTCTGAAGCAGGCTTTGTTTGAGTCCAAATTTTTCTTTGCGTCTTTTGCTTTATTTTTTAATTCGAGGGATTTGTATGAACTGCAAGGCTTCGATGGTTATGGCTCTTGGTATTTGAGAAAGGAGCAAAAAGCGGGGAGTTGGTTTTTCTTTTGCTTTGTGAAATTGGAAAGGGAATTGGAGACGGTATGGACGGGCGTTGGAGATGGCTTCGGGGTCAGAATGTGTGGATACTGGATAGTAAAGTGGGCAGGCAGGGTTGGGATGGAGATGAAGATGGAGACGTAGATAGACTGGACTGGACCGGACTGGCCATGATGTGTTTATCTAACCCACGATGCATATCTTTTATGCGTGTTGAGAGTTAAGAAGTAAAAGAGACCCAAATACACGTTAGGAGGAGAGCGAGAGAGAGAAACAAAACAAAGAGCTGAATGCACAAAAAGGATATAGGATGAGAAGAGAATTAATACCTCAAAAGCTCTAAAATACTCGAGTAGCTTGCAGCATCTGTTCACATGTTCAAGTCTTTCTCTATGTTGATTTACTGTGAAATATGTGTATATGTACGAGTACGTAAGTACCGGTGAAATATGAAGAAAGATGGAAATTTCTTCGAGTCAATAAGATGCCAATCGAACTATATACACTACTACTCGAGTACATACACTACATACGGATCATCTAGATTCTAGACCAAACCTTCAATCTGGATTGAAACTTTCAGTATTCAGCGTTCAATGTTTAGTATCTACGAGTAGAAGTTCAACAATCATTTATTAATCATGCAGTGAAATGTGGTTTTGGTTTGTATTTGAATCTGAATTTGAACTACGGTACCCGAATAGACTAACTATACGAGTAGATGGGAGTTAATGGGATTATTGTGTACTGGTATGTAGGTACTCGTAGATTTTACTTATCTTATACTGAGGCGGGGAGGGGAGGAGGCGGATGGGTCAGAGGGTAGAGGGAAGGGAGGAGAGGGAAGAGGGAGGAGAAGGGAAAGAATGGTTGATTCCCGTTTGCACAAGTGGTGAGGTGGTTAGGCTAGGGAGGTGAAGATATAAGTATGGAATAGATATATATGAAGTAGAGAGAGAGGAGGGGGATTTAGCAATTGTAGGAGTGTAGGAATTAGAAGTTTGAAGATTGGAAAATCTTGGGAGTTTTGGGAGAGGGTTGATGGGAGAAGTACGTAGAGGGAGGGGATAGACGGACGGAATTATTTCCATGGTTTTGGTTCAGTTATAAAGGGGGTGGGTGGGTACGGAGGGGAGATTTTATGTATTACCGGTATATGTGCCGGTATATTTATGTATAACTAATTTTTAGCTGGAGTATCGGTAGATGGATGAATTATACTCGTATATGGTGGGGAGTGGGCTGTGTCTCTGTGTCTGGATATTTGGGTATTGGGTTTTAGGTTTCGATGGCTAATTATGGATTACTATTACTCAAGTACAAGGAATGGGTGTATGAAATTATGAGTCGAGAGATCAATAATAGCAAGTGCTAGTTTGATACATTAGATCTTGCAAGTCGTTATATTATAATAATTGAAATTTGGGATAATAAGATAAGTTCTGCGGATTCTTTTTCTTGTTGGATGTTTTCTTGTACTAATTCCAGATTTGAGTAGGTGTAGTAGGTATGTACTCGAGTAGAATTACTTGATTCGATTTCGAAATACTAATAAAATGGAATAAAATATGGTGTTGGTATTGGTATTGGTATTGTAATCTCATAAACACATCCTCGAATACGAGATGGAAAAGGAAAAGAGAGTTAGAGTTTAGAGTTTAGAGTTTAAAGGTACACAATACTCTTGATTGGTTTGCCACTTTCCGCTTCTTGGAAATCTCGTTCCGCTCTCTTCTTAACACTATTTTATACAAAAATTCCGAGCATCACGAAATAACCATCTGCCCAATCCAATACCAGTAAGGTGTAAATACCCCTCACCATCTCAAGACCGCTAATCAAGATATCCGAAGTCCTGGGTCCAGCCCAAGCCACATCCTCGATGCAAATTCCTGTTTTGTGTGTAACGAATGCCATACCGGTATATGCATCCCCTTCTTGAATGCGATAGAAGTTTGTACCAATATCCGTTTTCAAGAGCCGGGTTTTAAGCGGGGTTTTGGGTGAGGTTGATTGGAGAGTTCCTGGGGACTAGACTTGAGTTGGATGGTTGCGAAATTTTAATGGATGATTATTAGTACTGTGCATGCATGTTGCATGGTATGGTGCGGGAGAAAGTTTCCCCAGATCTACAACCGCAAGGGTGTTTGGACCTTAGAGAAGAGGGTCCGGGGGAGAGGAGCTAGAGGAGCTAGAGGGGGCGTTATTTGAGATCTGGGGATTTCATACTAGTATTGGGGCTTGTGATGGCACGGATCTTCACGTGCTGGATTTTGGGGAAGTACGAAGTAGGTTTTGAATCTTGGGGATGGGATGGAGCTTGGTGTAAAGTTCAAGTATATATTATATGAAGAGAGCTGTGTCTCGTTCTTGGGTTTTCATATTCTTTGGAGTATTGGAACTTACTACTTCTTTTCTCATCTCGTTTGCTAATCGATCATCGTCTCGCTCTCTGTTATATCATACTTTATACTTCATCTCTTCTAGCTTTCACTCAGGATAAACTGAGACGGGATGGCTTCATTAAATACATCATACGATGATATTCAGCATGAAAAACCTTACTCGGAACATCTAAATGGCGGAGCAAATTTATCACGTCAAATTACCCTTCAGCTAAACTCGGATCAGTATGAACGACTATTCTTCCAACCCACATCCGCCAAGGGAGATCTTGCAAAACGTCTTGGTATGTCACTCCGCACCCCCCTTTCCTACTCCGTCTTATCACACATCACATCACCAACCCAAACCATATACTAACCCCTAACCTCACCAGGAAACCCAACCCTCCTCGGCCTCCTAGGCTTTCTCGTCCCCTTCACCTCCACCGTCTTCTCCCTCCTCCATTTCCAAGGATCCTCTCCCCAATCACTTGTCTCCATCTCAGGATCCTTCTACACATTCGGCGGCATCGCTCTGGTCATCGCCGGCATCTGTGAATTCATCCTCGGCAACACCTTTCCCTTTACCGTCTTCATCGTCTTCGGCGTTCACTGGGTATACAACGGTTTCGTCAATGATCCTTTACATAATATCGTCGGTTCTTATGCTACGACTCTAAATGGTGAAACGGTACCTGGAGCCTTGAGTCAGGAATTTAATGCCGGGCAGGGCAACTATTCAGTCGTCATGGCGTTGATTTGTTTTGTGTTTTTCTGTGCCAGTCTGAGGACTAATGTTCCTTTTGTGATGATCTTCTTGACATTGATTTTTGTATTTGGCTTTTTGGCCGCGGGATATTATTCTTTGGGTTTTAATCCCACCGTGGCGGGAGTGGAACATGCGACGTATCATTTTAAGATCGCGGGGGGTTTTGGATTCGTCACGATGATTATGGGATGGTGAGTCGGCTTTTCTTGTGCTCGATTCCGTGGGTCGGAACTGGTGAGGGTTTGAGTGATATGTATGCTAATGAAATCGTGATAGGTATTTGGCAATCATCACATCTTGTGCTTCGACGGGTGTCCCATGTCCACTACCGGTATTTGATTTGAGCTCGAGAGTCTTTACTCATAATAAGGAGGCGGCGAAGACGGAACATGCGGGTGCTGTGAGATCGGATCAAGTTTAGGTGAAGAGATAGGAGAGGGATCACGCTGGGAGTTTATTCGATTGCTCAGTACATGTAATGAGCGAGCGTGATTGACATTGCATTTGTGGAATATATGGAGACTGGGTTATGATGCCATGTATATATGAAATGCAGTTTAATGAATATCGAATGTGTATAATTCTGATCCTAAAAATATCCAATGCTCCACGTTGACTTAAAGTTTACTCGTACGAGGAAGATGATTACTGGACTTTTGATTTGAGACTTTTCAATACTACCATTCTATCCAAATCCAATTTTTCTTGCCCAGGAGTAGGAGTAGGAACATACTTCCTATCAAAGATTTATACAAGACTTCTATATCCTCGAAGATATTATCCTCTCCTTATATCTCTCCTCTCCTTATATCTCCACTTCAACTACTCGTATATTCTCTCAGGTTTTTTTATGCGATATATATTACATTAGTATCAATCTACAACCCCAATCTTACTTTAGAGGATACGTACTGAGTACGAGTATTCGGGTTAACATACTGTTACAGATACTCGGTCGAGTGCATACCAAATGGTAAGATTATCATTCGGCTACTAGCTTACTTCGAATTCACTGTACCAGTACTGTACCCCCTTTTCAAATCCGAAGGTCAGTGACTATACTATATATACACGAGATTTCAACGCTCAACATGCGACGCCATCATCTCGCCTCGCATCTACTCGTACTAGTAGAATTGTAAGAACATGAAGGTGGAGAAAGAAGGTACCACTGATGTCGATTTGAAATTTGAACGAGTATATTCGCTAATAAATTCGCTTATAGTAGTAAATTCACCTACCGTGTTGTATTCATCTATTCCATTAAATTTACAGACGAGATTCATATACGAGACTAGCTAGATTCACCCACCTCATGCATCCGAGTCATCACATCTTAAACCTATCCTTCATCCCAATACTCGAGTACACCTACACCATCAAACGCGTATTCCGACACCTCAATGATCTCATCTAATTACTCGTACAATAACAAGATCCTGAACCTTCTTTCTCATCTCTTAATAGTTTAGCCTACATACACTAGGATGCATCACCTAGACCCATATCCATATTTAACATGGATTTTCCGCATGCGATTATCTTCATCATATCATACTATATACAGCATTCGAATTCCATGAGTGTCCTCCCTTTTATACAGTAACCTACTACCTACCCCTTTCTCTTCGCGGGGCATTGGTTTTAAAATACAGATAGATACTGTAGTAATGAATTAGATGAAATTCAGATTATCGTAAAGGAAGTCGCGTGTACTCGAGTACTACTACTACTACTAGTGACATGACAATCACACAGTATGACATAGTGAGTAGAAGAATCAACCACATAGCTTGTTGTATGATGGATATACCACCATGATATTTGATAGCGCAAAGCAATGCTAAACTAGATGCATACATGAATCAAAAATTAGATCATGAGAAAAAAATGCCACCCTGAAATTCCCATATGAATGACCATCCATCAAGCCAACCAGCCTACTAAATCAATTCCCAGTCTGGAATAATGCAAGATTTACTAGATCTGTCCTATCATATCGTATCGTATCATATCCCAGAAACACCAAAACCCCATCCTGTACTAAAGTCCCACGAACACCGAAAGCACCACTTTATATATGACCAATCGATATAGCATAGATTCGGCCGCGAATATCATCCAAGGATAACCGAGCTTCTTGACCAATTCATCAACTATCCACACCTCGTCCTCCAGCTTGGATGACTAAAACACTCCCTCTAACTCCACTACTGATCAGTGTCTCCGCCACAGCTCCAACGGTCTTCCTCATTTCCTTTCCGCTCTCCCCACTGGCGCCCTCTTCCTGTATCAATGCCCTAACTATGGGAGTTCTACCTCTACCTGTAACGATCAAATCCCCTGCATTTCGAGGACTTTGACCCATCTCAACTTTTGCGTGATGTAGACAATCGGTTAATGGCGTTGTGGTCTTTACATCGACAAAGACCACTCTACTCGTCAGAGCTTGAGGTAAGGAGTCCCGTAACGTGTGTAAAAGGGCAGTGTCAGAGGCGACTGCATTGTAAAGATCCTCGGTATCGACACGTTCAGTGATACGCAAGCCCGATCCGGAGCTACCGCCGTGTTGAGAGCCACTAGCAGTGACTGGACGAGAGCCATGCACAACTTCAGAACTCTTAGGATTGTGGATTGGAGTGATGAAATGAATAATTGTGGCTGTGATGTTACTGTTCTGTGCAAGTTGAAGAACGAAACGAAGGGCGACACGATCGTCAGCACCACCGAAAAATGGGAAGTAAACATGGTGACTGCGATCCGCGACCGGAGCAATGATTTCTGCACGATTACTACTGCGAAGACTGAGTCGACTAGCACTTTCTGAGAGATTGCGAGGCTGTTTTAAAGTTGGTCCACCGAAACCGCGATTGATGAAAATGGCAACGTTGCAACTAGCAATTTCAAGCGTCTTCTGAATAAATATATCCTGGAGACCACTAGAAAATGAATCCTGCTGAGCTTCATTGAATGGTAGGCTGCCCGGTTCGGTCCAAGGGATGAGAACTAGGTCGGAGAAATGATCTGACGCTTGTGTGGTCAAAGCTTCGGCGTAATCTGATTCAGGGACGACAGAAACTCCACCCGAGACGGCGACGTTGTTCAATTGAGCAAAGGTACGGAAAGCATTGACGACTGGATCGCGATAGGTGTAATCATCGACTTCGGCCATGACTGAAGATGTACGATCGGTAAGTTCTAGCATTCGAACACCATGAACCTCGAGTGGTTGCTTTTTAGATGGAGTCGTTGATGAAGGAGTTCCATCCTCATTCACCGTTTCCAACTCGGCTTTCGACTTGTGAACTTTGGTAACCGTACTCGTCTTGTCTCCGCCCAAGAGTGCAATGAAAGTGAACAAGCTAGGAAGACTATCAAGTCTAAGATAGACAAGCAGTCTTCGGACTTGAGTGGATTCCAACTTTTCCAACGAACGGTCTGGGGAATATTCTTCGCCCTCGGGATGAAGTCTGTTCCCTTCCCAGTCTATTTCTCCCTTCTTCCAAGCATCAAGCTTCTTCTGGTACCAAGGAGGGTATAAGGCGCTTGTTAATGGTGTTGTGGCAACAGTTGTGATAAGTGCCATCACGACAAACATGGTGAAAGTCCTCGTCGATAAAATCTTGGCTTGCAAACCGATGTTCTGTTCATGTTAGCAACAAGCTATGCAACCTCCTGTTTGATAAAAAATCCACTTACAAGGACAATCAATTCCACAAGACCTTTGCAACTCATCAAAACTCCAATGCTGAAACTTTCGCGCCAAACAAGCCTACAAGCCTTTGCGGCAAGCGTACCTCCAATAATCTTCCCGGCAAATGCAACTACAACAATCGCAATAACATAACCCCATGTAACACCATCATTGAGTAGACCAAGATTGGTGCTTAAACCAGACAAGGCAAAATAAAGCGGAAGAAGAAGCACTGCGACGAGATCTTCAATCTTTTCTGTGATATGAATAGCAAAACCACCTTCGTGGGGACATATGAGTCCAGCTAGGAAAGCTGATACCAGTTTAGTAGGGGTTACATGCCTCGTGATTCAGTGTAGTCTTACCTCCGAAGATAGCGTGGACTCCAATGACGCCAGTAAACCAGGAGGATGTCAGAACAAGTAAGATTGTTAGAGCAACCATACCCTGCGAGGGGCCATTTTCGAGACTTCCATTGCGACGAAGAATATACCTAAAAACAGGACGTACAGCAAACACCAAGAAAAGACACCAGCCAACACAAACAAGCAACACCCATAAAGCTGCGAGTCCTGATCCGTTATTTACCAGTGCAACGCAAAGGGCTAAAAGGATCCACCCTGTCACATCATTACCAACTCCAGCAGCAAGAACTGTAACTCCAACGGGTGTAGACAGGAGTTTTAATTCAGTAAGAATTCTGCACAAAACAGGAAAAGCTGTAATCTAAGGCGGATGTCAGTACTCAATATCTAGGAGTTGGAAGGTATGTCGTACCGCAAGGGCTGTACCAATGAAAAGCATGTAGACTGGAAATGAGATCGGTACAGTTCCCGGATCGTTGCGAAACTCATTATATATACCCCAAGCAATGGCGCAACCCAAGCCAAATGGCAATATCATCCCAGCCAGTCCTACACTTAGAGCCACTCTCCAGTTGCCAAGGAAGAGTCGCATGTTAACTTCCAGACCCACAAGGAAAAGGAAGAGTATCAGTCCCAGATTGGCGGCCATGTTCAAAACTGGCATAGAAGCAACAGGAAATATAGCTTCTTGGAACCCGGGTATGCGCATCATAACTGAAGGACCTAGAATGATTCCACCTATGACTTCTGCAATAACTCGAGGCTGTCGAAGTTTGGACAGAGGGTAATGAAGGAGACGACAGAAAATAATGATGATGCCCGCCTGTAATCAAACACATATTAGCTGTAATGATCTGCGATGTCCACAAGAGAACTGCGTTGACTGAATCTCACTGTTTCTTCTTCAGATTCAACATGTTGTAGGTATAATCCTATGATAAAGGTATACATGGCGCTCTGCAACAGTAAACCTGCGTTACGTTGTCGACGCATTCTCGAGACTTGCGCAAATCAGTAAAAATTAGGCATACCTGAATGATGAACAGAATGATGGGATTTTGAGGATTGAAAACGGTAGGGTTGCCTCCTTCCAAAATCCCACCTTGAGGAGTCGCACGATTTGTAGAAGTAGGGCTGGCAGAGCTACTGGCTTTTGTGACGGTGGTCGCAATCGTCGTAGTGACGGTCGCAATCGACTCAGTGAAGGTCGTAGTAATGGTCGCCATGATGGCAGGTCAGGTAGGGTGTCGTTGTTGTCAGAAGGATATTTTCGACGAATGTTTCAACACTTCAGAGGCAGACTAAATAGAGGAAAGGCAACTGATGAGGTAGTAATCATTAGTACTAGTGCTTAAACATCAAGGTGAGCTAACTTTTGGTTATTGGGGTACCAAAATATGATAGTACGTGAATACATCTCAAAGTGGTATATCAACAAAGAAATGAGGGACATACCTTCTTACATATGAAATTTCCAAGGGTCTAATGAGAAGATCAAGATCCCAAGCTTATTGATGTGTATGATAGTTCTTGGCTTGAAGGATATCTCTTGGAAACATTGTGATTGGAGGAAGGGGTCCAGATAATCTCAAAGATTGGTAGTGAATATAAATACTAGTATGTTTGGCAATTGACGCCCATTGGTGAAAAAGCTTGAAGGTTGTAAGCTGATTTCGTGAATATTTGAAATGGCGGGGAAGATTCCAAATAGGTCTGGGGTAAGGTAAGAAGGGTAAGGGTTGGAGGAGGGGTAGGGATAGTACTCGTAGGAGTACTCGTAGGAGTAGGTAAGGGGGTCGGTTACCACAGGCTTGCGAAAATGTATTGGCTACATTCTAAGAAACAGTGGATAAAGCCTAGACCCATGCAATCAGTGTGATTATGTAAGTCTTGTTTACCCTTCACCTAACCGAATAAACTTTAAATTATCATTGGCGGTGAAGGGGCTGTGAGAAAAGAACCTAAGAAATCCAAAACAGACCTCTAGAATGCTGTCCCTATTGGATAGGTACCGCCATGTGGATGAGATGTCTCGTCGTCTCGTCTGTGCCTTCCTGTCGGGATCCCAACTCATTCCACCTAAACTAACATTCAAAGATATAAGGTTATTGGACGACTTAGAATCCAAGCCACTTCAAAACAGCTTGTCACAATAGCATATCACACCATGAACTAAAATGCATGTGTGACCCAGGTGTAGTAAATGTTTATCGAGAGAGAAACATATCAGTAATTACTTGATCTAAGTCTCATAATCACTGAGTCTAAATCGTTGCGAAGCTTGTTCTTCGTAAAGCTTCGGGGTCGAAAAAATAGCGATGAGCATGGCCGCATCGTGGCAATGATAGCTTTAAGCCAAGGATTCAAGCCTCAGACAAGGGATGTCTTTCATTTTCTCCAGATTCAAAAACTTCAAGCATTGCCGGCTCGCATATTCGTTGGTGAGGTGTGTTATGAAACGGGGCAAAAGGGCACCAATTTCGTATATCCCATCGAAATGGTATATATCAAAAGCCATCGGAAGGATATTGGCGAATTGATCTATCCTACCGTCATCACAGGATGAGCTACATCCTATCATCATCTCAGCTCGTTGTACCTCATTTGGTAGCTGAGCTTTGAATCTGCGGGGATGAACGAATACAGATGGTAAGAACTTACCAGCAATAATAGGAGGAACGATCTCTAACCCTAGAAAACAATCTTTCTGTCAAGTCTGCCTCAATATCTGCATGCTGGTAATGAGTTGGCATGCCGCGTATCGCCGGTGTCTCAGCCGTCTCAGCCGTCTCTGTGGATAAGAGTATCCACATGACTGTTCTGTATAACCATTGAACTTTCGGGCTTGTGGAAATCAGGTACACGGTTATGGGTATATCGACGAACTAGTTGAAAAGAGACTTTCAGGCCTAGCGAGCAATATAGGAAAAACAAAGTTCTCAGCGGCATTTTAAAGATGTCTAATATTGGGTACCAATACGATCGCACAAGTGCGGGGTATCATATTCGATACAATTATCTCCTGCCGAATGCACTTATCTTGTGTGACATCTGGTTGCGGATCTTGGAGAAGTCTCCGGCACTCTTGAACTATCCCAGTGCGTTGTTCTCGAGAATCACTGCATTTTCTTGCGAAATTGCATTATATCAATAACTGTAGATCATGCTAATATCTTCAGGATCTGCGAGCAATCTGATATGTTTACATCGACTAATTTATTTTATAGAGACATGATTAAAATATCCCCCGGTCATTCTTCTTACTCCGAATGGCACGTCAATATCATCAAGACCTCGTGGGCGCCGGGTAGTTTATAAACCCCACGTCTAAAGATTCCAAGCACAATTCGGAAAATAAATGAGAGTACGTGTAACCACACTTTCTGCTGCCTGGAACACTGGTAACACCAAGGGTAACACCAAGCAGCGGCCCGAACCAGACAGCATTGCAACCCCAAACGTCATGATCGATTAACAATCAATCTTTGCAATCCAAAGTTCATATAGACGGGCTTCAATCAATACCATATTATTCATACTTTTGTTTGTTTTTTAAATCATTCTGTATCGCATACTACAATGTTTTCTTCTGATATAGAACGCAATTAGCTAGTAAGAGACTCGGAGTGAAGATCGTCGGTGTGCAGTTTGTGTAGCCAGACAGAACTTCAGCTGGTATCTTCATTTCTCTTGATTATATTTGGGCCATTGGCTAGCTCAATAATGTCTATTCACACAACTCTCAAGTCGAACCTAAACTTCCAAAGGGTGCAGGAGACTCTTTCAAATTATCCTCTATCAAAAACATCTACTTTATATATCATATATATATAAAACTCAATATACTCGTATAACTCAGAAGCCTAATTAAAGATTAATTTCAAGTTACTAAACTATCTTCTATAATCATTTTCTATCTCGTATTTTATGCTTCAATTATTACGAATCTATATTCAAATCATCTACTCGAGTATAAGTAATTGATTATCAAAGTTGAATCGAAATATCTAGAGATTAAATATACAAGTCATTGATAATCTGTTTTCAAATTCAAGCTTATTATATGAAAATCGTATGTGACAATGCTTAATATAGAGGGATAGATAGATAGTTAGTTAGATAGATAAATGAACATGAAGTTAAGTGATGAGGGAGGAAGAAGAGGGATGAGGTTAAAGTAAGATGGATAAACGGCTATTATTGTACTGTACTGGGTCAATAGTATCTTCAAGATGTTAAAGGCCTCTCTCTATCTCTGCGCCGAAGCCTGGTCACTGTCCTTATAAAGTCTAGTGAACTAAAAATTGGTTACTGGACCTGTCTAAAGCCGATCTCCAGTGGCAAATGTACGATACTTCTTAGAGTATGCACTTGAGTTTTGATACGACCCTAGTCTCTACACGCATAGGTTTACTTGTGGTTCTGATCTTCAGGGAAGGAGAGGGCATTTCATTTTATTGTATATGCGTGTAAATTTTACCATATCTCAAGATGTGACCGACATTTGTATGCTCCAACTAAGCTCTAATTACAGCATTGTGTAGTTTGCCACTACTCAGTAGTTCTCAAACAAAATAAGTCTACGATGTCGAATATTTCACAGCCCCCACAGAATCCCTCAAAAATAGCCATCTTCCCTTCTCAGCCCATCCATTCTCCTTAAATGCATTCGCATATGAAGGAAAGAAAGATACCACGTCCTTCAAGGTATCATCGTGGGCCATAACAACCAGCACTCCATCTGATCCATCCGCTTCCATGACTTTCGTTTCCTCCGCCTCATTTACATCGTGGGCTACTCCTTTCCCATCTTCCAAACGCGCTATCGTATAGAAAGGTTTCTCTCTATCATCATCACGGAGAAGAGGCTCAAAGAGGGAGCCGGGGCAGCTTGCACCAGGAGTCTGTAATGGATTCGGTATGATGGTTTTAGGAAGAGGATGATAGGGCGAAGGACGAAATTCCCCTTTGTGATGACACGAGTCGCCTCCCATGAATATATATGAATTTGGATTTGTGGTAACCCTAGCTAGTGCACACATGTGACCTATAGCATGACCCGGACTATCAAGTAAATAGAACGAACCATCTTGAAAATACTCGACAGCGTTGAAACGGCCAATCTTGAGACCGGAGCCGAAGGATATATATGTTTCACGTAGTCCACGACCGGCCATAGTCGCTTTCGAGAATAGGGGAGGATATTTTGGAGGGATAACCGGGACTAAAGGATCGTATGAAGCCCGGACCAACAATCAGAGCGGTGGATTTGTCAAATATACTAGGATCTCCGGTGTGATCCCAGTGCCAGTGACTCCAAATGATGGCTTCAATATTGGCAGTTGATACTTCATGGTCTTCCAGCTGTTCACGTACCCCCTTTTGAACCGTAACTTTCCAGCCGCCATCTCTAATGCGTTCGGTAATGCGGGTGCGAGATTCTCCCAATTTTTTCGGACACCAAGATCGGGGAGGAGTGAGCGAGAGGAAGAGTGCTCAATGAGAAATGAATAGGCGGGGATGGAAAGATGGGTGTGTCCCGGGATAGCGGGAGAAACAAATTCGGAGAGAGGAATACCGGACATGCGAGTTGTAGTATCGATGATGCGGACACCCACAGTGGTAGAAGAGGGGGGGATTCTGAGGTCTGGAACTGATTTCGGCATGCCTGTGAAATGTACAACCAATTGAGTTGAGAATTCGGAGAGATATATGTTTGCCAATCTAGCATAAACTTTTGTGCGTGAATATGGAAATCACAAGTGATATGGTGCGGATCGTTCCTACACTACTAGTATAAGCTATCAATAATCAAACTGACATCACGGATCTCAAATATGATCTAAATTTTAGATCATATTGCATACTTAGAAGTAGAATCCAACAGTATGACTACTGGCACAGCTTCAAATGAGAAACCAAATAATGAATATACATAGTGTAAATTATTACAATGAGAGCGAACATCTAGATGAGTCCTTTGGTATTCATGAGGTGAGAACTCCGAGATTGACAATCTAGAGATTCCTCATAATTGGAAAATATAAACCGATGAGAAGGCTGTGATCTGTGTATGAACTTTTAACAATGATGATGAGGGATGTGGTAGGTAGTGAGGTAGTGTGAGATGGAGAAGAGGAGAGAGCCAGTCAGTTAGGTAACTTAGGTTATTCAATTTTAAATTAACCCATTTCTTTGATTGATTCACCCACATAATTATTTAAGAACTGAGTCAGACACCATATAGCCAATTCAGTGGTGTGAGATTAAAAGATTATCCTAACAGGCGACATCCGTCTATTAATCAAATCGGCATACGGCCAGTGACTCCCCCGGGCTAGGATCACAAAACTTTTGGAATAATTTTATTTGTGCATCTTTTTGGACTTACCCGGGTGCTCAGGATCAATAGAAGTTTGTTTATAGGTATTCAAACCTTCTTCTTCAAGTTACACATATCATCACATCATAATACCATATATCATATTCAAGATGGTCGTTAAAGAATATGTGACCTATAACCAGGTATGTGCAATGCATAAGCTTCAATGCCCCTCTGACTCGGACCTCAACATGCCCCTCCATACACGAAAAGCTCACTGAATGCCTTCCAGGTCCACAAACTATGTCAAGAAGCCGCACCACGCATTCTCGATGATTTCCAACCCCAACTCATGATCGCTATTGGCGGTGGTGGATATGTGCCAGCCCGTATTCTGCGATCCTTTCTAAAACAGCCCGGAAGTCCCAATATTCCTATTCAAGCCATCGGGCTTTCGCTTTACGAACAGCTTCCTCCTACACACCCATCTGCTTCAAGTACACCAGGAGAGGTGGAACAACTGGGCACAAAGGTTACGAGAACTCAATGGTTAGATTTGAACAGTCTAGGTAACATGGAGAACTTGGTGGGAAAGAGGATTTTGATTGTCGATGAAGTGGATGATACAAGAACAACTTTGGAGTATGCTGTTAAGGAGTTAGAGAAGGATGTTGAGCTTGCTAGACAGAAGCTGGGTGGACAAGGAGAGAAGACCGTCTTCTCTATTTTCGTATTACATGTGAGTAATTGTCCGGCTTGAGATACCTACTCTACTGCTTTGAGGTAGTTTACTAATAGGTTCACGTCAACAGAACAAGAACAAGGAGAAGAAAGGTACACTTCCCGAGGATATGTTGAAGGATAATAGATATCTCGCCGCAAGAACCGTGGAGGATGTATGGATTTGTTATCCTTGGGAGGCTCAGGACATTGAAGAGCATGATGAATTGGCTCGCCAACAACAACCTGCTCAATAGACGTTTATCCTATAGACTTAGTGGTTAGAGGTTCGGAATAAAGTAAAATCCACATCTTCACCTCTCTATAGGAGTGAAAATACATCGTGATAATTTAGCGTTCTTCTGTCATTCTTCTGTCATCCTCCATTGAATAAAAAGATAAAAAGCCAATCAGGAAATTCCATGCACCCCTTATCTTATCTTAGCGCCCGAAAGCTCGAACGGCTCATCAGCCTCATCAGCACGGCAGTTAATGTGTTCCGGGCCAATACCCTAGCTCATTTCAAAATGCACCCTGTACATAGAAATAATAAGGTTCTTAAGCGGCCGTTCTATGGAGAGCCGACTATTATTCCGAAATCAACTAAGTTCGTGACGGAACGGACGGCTCTCTTCCGTGGTAAGTAACCATGTCTCACCTTGACCTTTCCTTGACCTTTCCTTGACCTTTCATTTAACCGCCAGACTCCTCTGTGATCGATGCACCGGTTGTTTCTTTCTTAGCTTAAAGCTCTGGCTCCATAGCTCTAGACCTAAGCATTATACGATGCTTATCTCTAGTTCTCCTTTCACTCCTTTGGGCTTAGTCATTAGGGCTCCCAAAACCTGTATATATAGTCCTTCTTTTAGAACCCTATATAGCTCTTCACTTGTAGATTCTAAGTATACAATCGGAGTCCTGTTTATATCCTTTTGATCACAGTTAGAGATAAATATTATATAATGTTTATATCTAGAGTTATAAAACTAGAGCTCTAAACTAAGAAAGAAAGATCTAAAAGAATCGTCTTATTTTATTATATAAGGTGTATAAGCTAGTGGACGGAAGAGGGCCGTCTATTCCGTTATATGAAACTTTATATCTGAACAATTAATTAGTTAAAAGTATCGAAATATCAAATAAAAAATATTTTTAGTAAATTTATTTAATAAACTATAGCTATTTAAAGTTAATAGAAATGAAATTTTCAATATTTTCGCTTATTTTGTATAAGGAAATCATTGAAAAAGCGTTATATTCGTAGATTTTTCAAAATTTCAAGATTTCAATACTTTGAATATTAAAAGAAGAATTTATATATAGATTTAATAATCTTAATAATTAGATTTAAAAAAGTAAAAAAAGAGAATAAAGATAAGTATTATATAATATCTAATTATAGATCTACTAGTTCTTTCAATTGATCTATTTATTCATCTCACTATATAATCACTCTCTAAGAGAGAGTAGATAATTTTAATTAGTTTTTATAACTTTATATATATATAGTATAAAATTTAATATTATATTTTAAAACTAAAACGATTATCAAAAATATTATAATATCTACCTAACTTCGATATCTACTTATTCAATAGAAAGTGATTATATGAGTTATTTATATATATATAAAGTTATAAGGACTAATTAAAATTGTCTACTCCTCTTGGAGTGTGACGGCTCGGACGTTACGGCCTGAGGCCGCCACCTGTTCCACAGCCTGACAGGGCTATTCGTTCGCTTAGGTTTTTGGTCCCCTCCGCGGGTACCACAAAACCACCGTCGAGGTTTACGTTACTTTGTTATTCTCTAGTTGTAGATAATTGATTCTTTTCACCGTAATCTGAAATGCTCCATCGTTACTGTATAGAGTGTGGTTGTGTAGTGTGGTTGTGTAGTGAGGTGAGGTGGGTGAGTGGGGGCAAGTAGGGGGGCCTTGTAGGCCTACGATTAGGTCTAAAACTCTAAAGTTAGAGTTTTAAAACAAAAAAGAAAGGTCTAAAAGAGCTGTCTTATCATACTATATAGGTTGGTTCTCATGAAAATGCGCTTTTCGAGGTGTTTCGCTAAAAGGGCCTATGCAGTCATTACTTATTCCGCCGAGTAGATCTAAAACTCTAAAGTTAGAGTTTTAAATTAAAAAAGCAAGGTCTAAAAGTACTGTCTTATCATACTATATAGAGTGTCTCTCATGAAAATGCACTTTTCGAGGTGTTTCGCTAAAATGGCCTATGCATGTCATCACTATTTCGCCGAGTAGATCTGAAACTCTAAAGTTAGAGTTTCGAATTAAAAAAGGAAGGTCTGAAAAAACTGTCTTATCATACTATATAGGGTGTATGAGCTAGTGGACGGAAGAAAGCCGTCTGTTCCGTCACGCCCCGGTTTGTGCAACGGCATGGAACAAATGTACCCGGCAAATATGCTCCTCATCCTGACAAAACATTGTTAGCTATTAGCATATGAGATGGATTATACTATATAAGTACGAGTATTTCCCAATCCTTTTTTCAACAGCTATTCCCATTTCGAGCTTCTAAGATTGCTTCTGTTTTATGTACACAGCTGCCATTAATCGTCTCACTTTACTTACCTCTACAATCATGGGTGAAGTTTGTAAACCAAAAGAACATATCCTATGTCTTCTTCCCTTTCCCGAGGAACCCAAGATTTTGGATCGGCTTCGACGAAAATACGATGTGGAATTTACGTACAAGCAGAATTCCTATGGTTTAGGAAAGGCATTGCATCTTACGGAAGTTCCGGATGGTAGATTGCCCTTTCACTCTCTCCTCTCCTCATATGCCCAATGTCCAACATCCTCAAAGTCCTAATCAACTCACTTTAATTCCATAGAAACCTGGCACGATGCTACCATACTCGTTACACTCTCGTCCCTGCCACCCTCGGCCGAAAAAGCTAAAAATGTCAAACTCATCCATATCTTCAGTGCCGGCACTGATAAGTTGAGTGATACTCCCGTGTGGAAAGACACCAAGATTCCTATTACAAACTCGTCGGGTGTGCATGGACCACAGATATCTGAATGGGTTATCATGCAGATCTTGAGCCATTCGCATAAGGAGAAGATTATGATGGAGTGGCAGAAGAAACATGTGTGGGGGGATTTCAGAGAATTGGGCGCTTTGAGAGATTTGGTCGGTCAGAGGTTGGGGGTTTTGGGATATGGTGCAATTGGAAGACAAAGTAAGTGGAGATTTTCTTATTTGGGTTGTGGTATGGATTTCATCTTGGACTTTCAATGCTTTTGAATGTTTTCTCTGTTGGAAGAAAGGGAAAAATAAGGTGGAACGGAAAGAGAGGATAAAGGAAAAGAACCATATCAACGAATGCTAACAATACACTAGCTGCTCGAATTTGCCAAGCAATGGGTATGGACGTAATAGCCTATACAGCAACGCCCCGTACTACTCCTGAGTCTAGAAAAGATGTTGGCAAATACATCGTCCCCAACACTGGCGATCCCGACGGTACTCTTCCTTCTGCCTGGTATTCCGGACTCGACAAAACCAGTCTGCACAACTTCCTCAGCCAAGATATTGATATTCTCCTGATTGCCGTCCCATTGACTCCTCAAACCCATCACTTCCTTTCCGCCGCCGAGTTTGAAATTCTAGGTTCCAAAACAAACGCTTTTATTATAAATATTGCGAGAGGTGGTATTATTAATCATGAAGATCTCATTACATATTTGAAGAAACCATTACATGAAGGAGGTTTGAGGGGTGCAGCATTAGATGTCACGGATCCCGAACCGCTTCCTGAGGATAGTGAGTTGTGGACTTTGGATAATGTGGCCATCACACCTCATGTGAGTGGGCTAGGAGCGACGACGTATGCGCAGAGGAGTTTTGCGATTTTGGATGAGAACTTGGAGAATATAGAAAGGGGACGGGACTTGATAAACTTGGTGGATAGGAAAAAGGGGTATTAGTGCACATGATAGATAAGATGAGTTGTTGGTCGTTGGAATAATAGACAATATAGAACATCAGAACTGGACAATGAATTTTGGTATATAGATCTTGGCGTAGAATATGTTGGCTTCATTGGCAAAATATAGAAATTTATAGACATCCTAATGGGCCTGCACAACACCACTTGCATCTGCCTGCGCCGTAATTCTCTTCTTGTATGCCTGCACGTCTCCAGGGAATTTCTCTACCGTTCCCTCATCACAAACCCAAAGACTTGTGCATACCGTCTGCAACATCGTAACATCGTGACTAACCATCAGCACACCACCCTGGAAAGCATTCAGAGCTTGACTCAGAGCATCCATAGCTTCAATATCCAAGTGATTGGAAGGTTCATCAAGGACGAGGATATGTGGGTTCTGTAACGAGAGACAAGCGAATGCGACACGGGATTTTTGACCTCCGGATAAAAATTCCATCTTTTGAAGACCAGTCATACCGGTTATACCAAAGGCACCGAGATGGCGACGGTATTCTTCGTCGGTTTTTCCAGGGTAGGCTTTGGTCATGAAGCCGACGGCGCTGGTGGTGAGGTCGAGGGCATCGACGTGATGTTGGGCGAAGAAACCGATGCGGAGTCGAGGGTTTTGCGAGATGAGTCCTCCGGTAGGGGAGAGCTTGCCAATGAGAAGTTTGAGAACGGTGGTTTTACCGGCTCCGTTGGGTCCGACGATACCAATTCGGGAGTCGAGTTGTACGTCTAGGTCAACATTGCGAAGGAGGGGTTTGTCGGGGGTGTAGCCGAAGGATACGTCGGTCATCTGGACGATAGGAGGTGAGAGTTTTTCTACCTCGGGGAATTTGAAATGGACTGTGTAGACCGATTCGGGGGCTTCGAGAATGGGCATCTTTTCTAACTTCTTGATTCGGGACTGGGCTTCGGAGGATTTGGCGGCATTGTAACGGAACTTGTCGATGAATGCTTGGAGATGGGATCGTTGCACCATTTGGTTCTCGTATTCTCGTTGAGCTGTCTTGCGGCGTTCTTCCTTTGTAGCATAGAAAGATTCGAAGTTGGCACCCTTGTAGTAGTCGAGACGTTCGGAATGTTGATGAATGATATCGGTTGCAACTTCGTTCAGGAATGCTCTGTCGTGAGAAACTACCAAGACTGTACTTGGATATCCTTGGAGATAGTTGGCAAGGAAAGTGATAGAAGGAACGTCCAACATGTTAGACGGTTCGTCAAGAAGTAGGAGATCAGGTTCACAGAACAGGGCTCTAGCCAATGCCAAACGCATACGCCAACCTCCGGAGAATGTCTTGGTAGCAAACTTTTGTCGTTCAGGTGAGAAACCAAGACCTGCCAAAATGGTGGCAGCTCGGGATTCTGCTTTATCAGAGTCCATCTCTGTAAGCTTGCCTTGAATATCACCCAAGGTCTGATCGAGACCCTCGCGTTCTTTGTCAAGCTTCTCCGCTTGTTCAGAAGTATCAGCCATTGAGACTCGCTCTGCTTCCATGTCTGCAAGTTGCTTAGATATTTTGACTTGTTCTGAGAGTAAATGTTTTCGCCATACATCAGCATCAAGCACAGCTTGTATCGCAGGTGTATCATCTCCACTAATCTCTTGCTCGACGTGAAGAATAGAGATGTGGGTAGGTACGGCTAATTCTCTCCTTGCCAAAGCTCTCAGCAGAGTAGACTTTCCGATACCGTTCTGACCAACCAAACCATATCTTCGACCGTAAGCTAAGGTCAGGTTTGTATCTGACAAAATTCTCAAGCCACCAATAGAAACATCGATATTGTCCACCTTGATGTCCTTGCTCTTTGTCGATTGTTCTGATCCCAGTTGTAAGGGATTGACAGCCATGAAGAACTCTTCATAGGACTGGGCATCATCAGGTTGGTTAATAAGTTTCGAAGCCTCATATTCGACGGCCTTGTATTCCTTCTTGCTTTGTTTGGCAGCAATCTTTCTCTCAGCTTTCTCCAATTTCTTCTTGTCAACTCTCGACTCCACTTTTCTAACATTTGCAGATTCTAAGTCAACACCTCCGAGAGATACACCCAATGTAGATGACATATTCCGCTGGGCTCCAACTTGAATGGTTTGATCTAGTCGTCTGGCAACAGAAGAGATCTGCTTATTTTGCCCGTTGCCATCAAATTTCTGTACCCATTTGCCCACTAATTGATTGATCTTTGATTCATTTTCCGGACTTGGATCCCCAGATGCTGACAACAACAGAGCCGAGATAGAAGCTGCTGCTTCTGATAATGGAGATGGGCCATTCTGATCTGCCTCTACATATGCATTTGATGCATGGGTAAGGTAACCAACAGAATATTCCGATAGAACCGGATCAATATTGGGTAAGAAGGTCTTTATTTCGCCTTCCATGGTGAATAATATGAGACAGAGAGGAAAATATCAGTTGTTAGGGCCAACAAAGAAATACTCTTTAAGTATTGACTGGGGGATATCAGGATCCTTTCATGTGAATTGCCTCACAAATTTGATCCGTAAGTTTGTTCACACGTGATCTGAGATGTTTTGCCCGACACTAACCCATTAAAATAATTGGCTTTCCCACTAGTGTGTTATTTGTTTACCGATGGATGGCTCTTTCCCCTAGCGGTGAACAACAAACTCCACTATCCACAAGGACATCTCAGCAATCCTCAACTTCTCTATCTACAACCTCGACTTCTCAATATCTAAATTTCCATACCTCAATACCTCAACAACCAAATCTAAATCTACCTTCAATATGCGTGAGATTGTATGTATCTCTCTCTCCTCAATCACAAGCTCCCACTGCTCTCTTCACAACGCGTCAACTTTACCCCTGAAAACACCCCACTATATATTTTTAAAAGGAACATATCGCTGACCAGGTAACTTTTCAATCTATAGGTTCATCTTCAAACCGGCCAATGTGTAAGTCGACTTATTCCCATTCTAATATATCAAATCTTACTAATGTTCTGTTTAGGGTAACCAAATTGGTGCTGCTTTCTGGTACGAAATCTCGATTTGCGAAAGCTCTGCGGCGCGACAACCTCAGATTCAATGCTAAAAATGTTATAGGCAAACTATCTCTGGCGAGCATGGTCTTGATGGCTCCGGTGTGTAAGTAATGCCACAATTATTTGCAGTATTTTGAACGTTTCTGACATGGTTTATTTACAGCTACAATGGTACCTCCGATCTTCAACTTGAGCGTATGAACGTCTACTTCAACGAGGTAAATATACAGAACATCAACAATACGAAAGCTATCCACTAACATCTGCAAGGCTTCTGGCAACAAGTATGTTCCCCGTGCTGTCCTTGTCGATTTGGAGCCAGGAACCATGGATGCCGTCCGCGCCGGTCCTTTCGGTCAACTTTTCCGCCCCGATAACTTCGTCTTCGGTCAATCTGGTGCTGGTAACAACTGGGCTAAGGGACATTACACTGAGGGTGCTGAGCTTGTCGACCAAGTTCTTGACGTTGTTCGTCGTGAAGCTGAAGGCTGTGACTGCCTCCAAGGTTTCCAAATCACCCACTCCCTCGGTGGTGGAACTGGTGCTGGTATGGGTACGCTTTTGATCTCCAAGATCCGTGAGGAGTTCCCAGATCGTATGATGGCCACTTTCTCCGTCGTTCCATCGCCAAAGGTTTCCGATACCGTTGTCGAGCCATATAACGCTACCCTCTCCGTCCATCAGTTGGTCGAGAACTCTGATGAGACCTTCTGTATCGATAACGAGGCCCTCTACGATATTTGCATGAGAACCTTGAAGCTCAGCAACCCATCCTACGGAGATCTTAACCACTTGGTTTCCGCTGTCATGTCCGGTGTTACCACCTGTCTCCGTTTCCCTGGTCAACTTAACTCGGATCTCCGAAAGTTGGCTGTCAACATGGTTCCATTCCCTCGTCTCCATTTCTTCATGGTTGGATTTGCTCCTTTGACCAGTCGTGGTGCACACTCTTTCCGTGCTGTCACTGTTCCAGAATTGACCCAACAAATGTACGACCCTAAGAACATGATGGCCGCTTCTGATTTCCGTAACGGTCGTTACTTGACCTGTTCTGCTATCTTGTAAGTTTATTTTATTATCCCTATGCCAATTATCTACACGTACTAATTATGTACAGCCGTGGTAAGGTTTCCATGAAGGAAGTCGAGGATCAAATGCGCAACGTCCAAAACAAAAACTCTTCCTACTTCGTCGAGTGGATTCCTAACAACGTCCAAACCGCGCTTTGCTCGATTCCTCCTCGTGGTCTCAAGATGTCCTCCACCTTCGTCGGTAACTCGACCTCCATCCAAGAACTCTTCAAGCGTGTCGGTGATCAATTCACTGCCATGTTCAGAAGAAAGGCTTTCTTGCATTGGTACACTGGTGAGGGTATGGACGAGATGGAGTTCACTGAGGCTGAGTCCAACATGAACGATTTGGTTTCCGAGTATCAACAATACCAGGATGCTTCCATCTCCGAGGGAGAGGAAGAGTACGAAGAAGAGGCTCCAATTGAGGGCGAGGAATAGATACTTAATGATATTCCTCCTTTGCTTCTTTGAAGAAACGGCGGGCTGGGCACTGATCTTGCATTAGTGGCAACACGATGTCGAATCATATTTATTAGTAGCAAGGTTGATAATTTCTCGGGTGTGGTCTGTTTTAGTCTTTTTGTTAATTAGGAGCCAGTGGTCTTGAAGGCGTAGAGCGACTATACATCGTCAATACCCTATGGAGTAGTTTATCTTGATGGATTAAGAAATCAAGACAATTTCACAAAATCGGTGCATACTGCAAATACATGGTGATATTATAATGTGGTGGGCGAAATTCAACTGTCGAAAGAACATATGGAAAGATTCCAGCCATATTTCAGGGCAATATGAGTATAAAGCTTCGGACATGGTTCTTGTAGCAGTATAGCAAGCAGTACCTTCTACGAGTGTTCAGCAAAGGTGATTTAGATTGGTCAGTCAACATGGCTTTTCAAAGTTCAAGACGAGTCCCAATATATCTAAGAGTAAGTACTTTGATACTCAATACTGTAGGTACATACGTACATTAGCAGCGAAGTCGGATGTTTGAAGTTTCAATAGCTGAATAACTGCAGCAGCTACGAAAATTCTTTTCTTGTCTCCTGATAAGGACTCATGCATTTTGGTCAGACCATTTTAATTGGCTATTTCCTCTTTAACTGCCACAGCTGACAGGGGAAATGGTAAGGCTGGTGATCTCAACTAAACTTCTTTTGGTTATCTTTGTGGCTGGTGGGGATGAAAAAATTGGTCTGATAGAGAATGGGAGCCCCCGTAGCTTATTTACCCCACCATGTAGTAATTGTTGTTGAATTCCCGTCCCTCAATTGAATCCACAACCAACATTACTCATATCCTTCAAAAAGGATATAAAATAACTTCCAATTACTACCAATTACTACTCATTCAATCCCTCACCCATACAAAACTTCAAAATGGCAAAGGATAAGGTACGATTGAAGAATTTCATCAGTATACTAAAAGCAAATAGAGCTTAAGCTGATATTTGTTGATTCCAGGTCTGTCTCGCCTACAGTGGTGGTTTGGATACCAGCTGTATCTTGGCTTGGTTGATTGAGAAGGGATATGATGTTGTCTGCTTCATGGCCGATGTTGGTCAAGAGGGTACGAGATTCTGCAGTTCCTAGGAAAGTACTGTGTTGCTAATAAGAGGGTAGAGGACTTCGAGGCTGCCAAAGCTAAGGCGATGAAGGTTGGAGCTGTCGCATGTTATGTTGCGGATTTGAAGAGGTATACAAGCTTGCCTTTCTTGTTGGAGAACACAACTAACATAATATCCAGAGAATTCGTCGACGAGTTATGCTTCCCTGCCGTTCAATGCAATGCGGTCTACGAGAATATTTACTTGTTAGGTGAGTCATACACATAGATTATATAAGAAGGTTCGAAAAGAGTTGCAGGGCTAATTGGTTTTGACCATTAGGTACATCTCTTGCTCGTCCAGTTATTGCTCGTGCACAGATCGACGTCGCCAAAAAGGAAGGATGTATTGCCGTATCTCATGGTTGCACCGGAAAGGGTAATGATCAAGTTCGATTCGAGCTTGCATTCTATGCTCTCCAACCAACCATCAAAGTCATTGCCCCATGGCGTCTCCCAGAATTCTACGAGCGTTTCGCAGGCCGTAACGATCTCCTTGAGTATGCTGCTAAGGCAGGCATTCCAGTCAGCAGCACAAAGGCCAAGCCATGGAGTATGGACGAGAACTTGGCACACTGCAGTTACGAAGCTGGCATTTTGGAGGATCCAGATGTCACTCCTCCAGAAGATATGTGGAAGTTGACTGTTGATCCATTAAACGCTCCTGATAAACCAGAAGACTTCACTCTCGTTTTCGAGAAGGGTCTCCCTAAGCAACTCATCACAAATGGCAAGACCATCACCGACTCTGTTGAGCTCTTCCTTGAATCCAACGCCATTGCCCGTCGTCACGGTGTTGGACGTGTCGACATTGTCGAGAATCGTTTCATTGGTCTCAAATCCCGAGGTTGTTACGAAACTCCTGGTCTCACCTGTCTCCGCTCAGCCCACGTTGATCTCGAAGGTCTCGTCATGGACCGTGAAGTCCGTGCTCTCCGTGATCAATTCGTTACATACAATTACTCCAAGATCCTCTACAATGGTCTCTACTTCTCCCCAGAACGTGAATTCATCGAGGAATCAATCGTTGCTTCTCAGAAGAATGTCAACGGTCAAGTCAGATGTCGTGTGTATAAGGGAAGCTTCAGTGTTTTGGGTCGTTCCTCAGATACCGAGAAGTTGTATGATGCAAGTGAGAGTTCGATGGACGAAATTGGTTCGTTTGCTCCTGCAGATACTACCGGTTTCATCAGTGTTCAATCCATCAGATTAAAGAAGTATGGTGAGGCTAAGGCAGCTGCTGGTGAAAGACTATAGATGGATCTTGTCACCTTGATGGCTTGAGCTTAGTCTGGGTCTCGGTTTGGGATTGAGACACACGAGGAGTTGCACAATCGCACTAACTGCGGATGAGGCACCGATCGATCCCGATCCTCTGTGTGCAAACAGGAATGAGAAATGAAATTATTTTACTGAAATGATACACAAAAGTCGCATATCGACAGAAATATACCAGCTTGCTCTTGCCAGTGCCGCTTCAAATCATGGTGTTTTTGTGTTTCATTCCAAGAAAAGACTTAATGCTGATTATTAACCAATAACTGATTGTGGACACATGTGTTGTTCTTATTTCATTCGCTTATTTTGAGTCACCCCCCTTCATCACTATTTTCATCTTCATTTGACGTCTCTAGTATCGTCTCACCTCATTGTGTTTCACGATCTTAACTTCAGATCTAGGCGTACAATGTAGTTAGTAGTTGCTGCTTAAGTATGCAAGCGTCGTAGGGGCACGAGAAACCGTTTGGAGATGTTATGTTGGTTCTTTAGTCCCTCCCTGGGTTTGGATTTGAGGGGATCTAGGAAATGCGGTTGGGGAATGGGGAGGGGTGGATGGTGAAGAGTTTGGCTTTGAGTAGGGTGTAGGGTGTAGGGTGTAAAAGGGAGAATTGAGTGTGTATAGATAGGTAGGTAGGTAGGATGGATGGATGGATGAGTGGATAGCAGGAAGAGGGAAGGTAGTCGGGGCAGGCATTGTTTGCGCGTACCGTGGGTTGGTGTGGGCTGAATGAGTTAGGGTGCATTAAATATGAGATACTCGTAGAGTGTGTGGAAAGGGGGAGAAGGGGAGATAGATACGCGATGTTAGGTTACATGGTTGAATTTTTCGAATTTCTTTTGGTGGTGGTAGTGTAGTGTAGTGGTGGTTGTCGATGTACATATTCCTTTCCGACACGACACGACACAATATTAAAGACTACAATTTCGAGTTTTGATTCATGATTCTTGTAATGCTATGTGTAGGGAATGGAGTCAAAGTTCAAAGACATGTCTTTCTTGGTCTTTGGAATGTTTGTGGGTACATACTCGATCGAGTACTGAGTAGAGTATGGTAGAAATTTAGTTTATTTATTGATGTTCTAGTTGGAGGTATGTGTCGCATGTGGGATGTTGAATGTGAATGTTGGAATTATATTATGTTATATTAGTTTGTTTTGTTTCGTCTTATCTTGTTTGGGAGAGGGAGGGGGAGGGGAGAGGGGTTATGGGGATGGTTGAGATGATGGTTGAGATGATGGTTGAGATGATGGTTGAGATGATGATTGAGAGCGAGAGTGAAAGAATGAAAAGTGAGTATTGTTATTCGCATACATACTCGAACATATACTGTATACACACTTCATTTGGAATCACTTGAAAGTAAAAGAAATGCCATGTGATGTGCTTATGATGTAGCATCATATCATATTATATGTAGAAGGAGTTTATGTACTTGTATATACTAATACAGATACTGTGTTGAACATGGAATATGGAATGTGGAATCTGGAATATGCAAAGAAGGAGAGAAAAATGGATAGATAGAGAGGGTATTAGGGTCCAAGATCTCAGTTACTGTATTTCTTTACTTTTGCCTTGATTGCGAGATGCAATATTGTACTGGATATTATTATAGTGTAATGGTATAACTCGAGTAGTAATCCAACAATATGGTCGGTACAAAGATGATATGCATGTCTATATTTCCTCTTTTCTAGCAACTGTATTTGTACTCGAGTATATAGCAAGGAGTTTTGTGGAAGTAAAATGTAATGAATATATAATGAAGAGATGTATGTATATACTCGAGGATGTATACAGAATGTAGAGTATATACTCAGGCTGTACTGTATATATGTTGTTATCTCGCGTTCTTCCTACAACAAAACATAGTGTATATACGAGGTTTAGTTTAGTTTAGTTTAGTTTAGCGATACGTATGTATTCTCAGTGATATGTACGTAGGTATACGCGTCGTACAGCACAGTAGGGCTTTCAAAGACGGTGTGGACTCTCCCCCCAGACTCTTGGGTTGAGCTTTTTTATTCGAGTATATTTGGGGAGGGTGTGGTGTGGTGGTGTGGTGGTGTGTAAGGTGATGTAAGGTGATGTAGTATCGTGCGAAGTGTATGATAGCATTCATTGATAGGGCTCGGTGTATGGATGCAGCGTGGGGCTGGGATGGAAATGGAAATACTGATTTATGATCATAATAGTGTGGTGATACTGAGATATGAGGGGGAGCGTATTGTTCCTGTTTGGGAATATTGAGTTGTGAGGTTTGAAGTCGTAGGTTAGGGTATTGCAGAGCGGATGGGTGGTAGTCATGGGATAGAGAGAGATGGATCGGGTTGTACTCGAGTATCTATTTTTGTGTGTGATTGTTAGGGAGATTTTGTTCGGCGGTATATTTGTTGTACTTCACGGCTGTAGCAGTTGATGTTGTGATACTAGGAAGTGACATCTATCACAAAAAACACACCACACACCACATTACATACCACCACCGACATCGGCATCAGAAAACGACCCGCGCACCCTGTACCAATGTAGTCAAACGCCGCGAAGGAACAGAAAAAGAAGGAAAGAAAGAAGGACTTAGGATCCCCATGTCTCGCAATCAAGGACAGCAAGTCCTGTCCTCAGCGCTGTACACACTTGTTGTACCACCGCATTCTGGGGCCCAACGATCGAGTATGTAAGCCTGTATCTCGTACCTGCACGGATATATGCACAAGCTAAGGTGCATACATACGGTACGTACTGGTACCGCTCTGGAAATCATCAGATGGAAGATTACTATGTACAGCACTCGTACCTGAACCTGAACCTTCTGAACGGTACGATGAATATGTTCTAGCTCAAGATAATGTAATACCCGTCTTACCTCATTGTGATCGATCTACTTATTACTCAGCGATATGCTGGACGCATGCTGCGTGGTATCTATCGTATTCAGAAATCTGCAACAGGAGTTTCCAGAAGTTTTCCATTCTTGGAACGCGCTTTTTTGAAGCTTGATTACCATAAGACGGTTTCTGGAATAGGAAAGTGATGGTTCATGGGGATTGGTGGTTGGTAGGATCGTAAAGTCGTGGGGGCCGAGTAAAACGTGGATGAGATGGAGCTATATGTAAGCATCCCTCGTATCAGTGCGAGTACTGTACTATAGAATCAATCTTGATTGCGTCTAGTACTATACTCGAGTACACATTGAGGTACGAAAACCATGGTAGGATTCTGAAGATATGAACAACCACATGCATAGAAATGGGGAAATATCCTCTTTGGGTAATCATTGCGTCGTCTAGAATCTGTACAGATTAGAACAATCCGCATGTGCGGAGAACAAGTTCAAAAGTGATAGTTTGGAAGATATAAATAAACGTAGATCTATCTGAGTAACGTGTGAGTGGATACCTATGAATTGATTAAAGGGTGGAATTAAAAATGACCAGACACTTGTGACAATGTTAATTTATATAAACAGTTAACTTCCTTAGCAAGGCACAGTAGTACCAGCCAGCCCTAAAAAATAATAAAAATACAAATATTAAATCGATGAGGCCGTGCCGTATTTCCCGAGACAGATTCAGAATTGGCGGATATACGAATTGTTTATTGATTGATAACCTTTACCAGCACCTGTGCGTGCCGTTTGTTGGAGAATTAACATCGGGCGAAGGAGCTGAAGGCGCAAGACGAAACCGTAATCATCATCGAGGATACTCGGCATGCATGCATGAGCACCAAAGCAATGGAAAAGCGTGTTGTGGTTGTGGGTGAATGAGATTAGACAAGGGGAAAACGTGGAATATTCAGCTATCAGGGATTGAGAGGTGTGGGTAGTATGCATTACAGCGTAGAGCACGAGGAATACAGGGTTGCGGTTAAGTGTGACTGGGGTTCAAACCATATCGCGGTAAGCAGTAAATGGAAGGTTGGGGGTTGAAGGAATGACTGAACAGGTAAGAACTCAATTCGAATGTGCCGCACACGATGTAATACTGTAATGTAACTACTTTTCTTCTCGAATGAAGAAAGTAGCGTACCTGGTGCACAGTCGGAGGAACTTTGTGATAGTGCTTATCGACATGAGGCGTGGTGTACGAATACTACACTGCAGCATGGTAGTTACGTGTTTTATTAGAAACTTGTATACCTGGCAAATGCGATGAAGGGGTTGAGGTCTTGGAAACTGTAAAAGACACATGTGACGCTCTGGGATCAACACGCTGAATAAATCCCTGTTGAGAAAGCCTTTTTCAGAGTCGTACTTTACACCCGGAAGGAATGAGGAGATTCCTCGCACTTGTGTAAACATGGCTAGTTCCAATTAAATTCGGTCCGAGGTAACCAACGTCTCAACCGCAGCTGCTTTGTGACAGAGATAAATGCGAATCAGAATATTCCATTCCATTGAATGGGCTTAATCTAAAAATAATGAATCGCTCTTTGCAGTCGTATGAAGAAACCAGACAGGGTAAGCATCTAAGATCGGAGTATCCAACATTCATTGACCAATTACCAAAATCGACTTGCTGTTTCAAAAATAGAAGCCTCGTGCGGGCAAGGATTGAAGTAGCGGGGGTGGATATGGTGGCGCGATGAGTGGCCGTCGAGGGTCACTTTGGAGATCAGCCATGTAAATGAACCGGTCCGTCAATCTTCTATGATATATTGCATGATCCAAAGAACCAGCCCAACCAACTCTGCCGTGTTGTAGGGATTTCTTCACCCTTTCTGGTATTTAGGTTCGTGTGATGTCTCTCATCGGGATCATCTCGATATGGTGTGTCAATACTCTCTTTGTTTTTTGTGGCGGATATAGAGATGAGGGCCAAAGAAAAATCCCCTTCTTGACTGCCGAAAAAGCTTATCCGTGTTAGTGAATGTAATATTGTATTGACTGGTGGAAATACCTCCGCATCATAATACTAAATCTTTGGATATTCTTCAAATTTAAAGGACTGGCATCTTTCTTTTCTCGCCCCCTATAAGTGGGCTTCAAATCTGCCCACTTTGCGAAAACCAATGAATGATCTGCAGGACCCTTAAAGTCAAACTCCCAGCTAATCGTACTTTGTTCTCTGCCATCAGGACTTTTTGGAAGTGATTCGTCTTTGACGATGAAAGTGTATTGTTTCTGGTCACTCTTTCCCAGATCGAGTAGAATTCCATCATAGGTTGAAAGGTCCCACTACAAATTTAGCTGTTAGCTCGAAGCCCATGGCAATTGAAGAGACTCCCCGCAGACGTGTCTCACAAATATCATTAATGGGGAGAAGAGTAAGCGCTTACGCTTCTACTGCGTTCAGTTGAAGCGCTTCGGTATCTGAATCCACGGACAAGGTTCCGGCCGTCATAAGACATTGATATGCGTCTGACATAACAACAATACAGCTTTGTACTTAGCCATCGCTAGAACGTAGTAATCATCCAGCGAAATAGGATGCCATGTACGTTTTTGACATGCTAGATCATGTATACAAGAGTTTTGATTGCCTCGAAATAAGTGTGTTCAATGTTCTAATCGGATTTAAAAATTGCAAACAGCATTTGTAAAGGATTGAAAAGATCATGTAAACATCCGTATCCAATCTGAACGATGTAACAATATATTCAAGACTTCGAAGTTATTGATCCATGTAGAAGGAGATCAGCTCATTTGGTGAATGTCAACAAAATCTTGGTTGGATTCACTTGAAGTATGATGATTTTTGAGGAAAAGCATTGCCTCATCTCTACTAACTTACAGTATGGTCTCCAGTCGTTCTTTGGGATGCGAAACCTGCACCCCCTAGGGTCTTGATATCGAGTGTACCGTTGAATGTAGCCTCAGAATAGGACGTGGAACATTTGAGATAAGATTGTGAGGCTCCGCCTCGAACTCGGTCATCACTTGAGGTCCAATCGACGGCCGACCAGGGCCTTTGGTAAATCATCAGTAAGAGACTGGCAAAGTACTTTCGCGGAGAATTTGATGCTTACTTTGAGCTACCGAAGAGATCCATAGATAGAGTCAATTTTGAGATACTAAAGTTCTATAAATATCCTAACAATACGAAGTGTTGTATATCTTTTTATGTTGTATGAGTTCCTGGTGGTGATGATGTTGTTATACTTAGGAAGGCAACTTCCGTTCGGTTGGTTCTGAACTAATAACTAACACTCACTAACAATAATACGAACTGGCAAACAAAACGCTTTTAGCTTTTCCCGTGGCAGCAGATCTAAGGCAACTTACAGCATTTATTGTTGAAAATAAGTTGGTAATTCTAACTCTCAAGAATTCATTTTTACCAGTACTTAACCTTTTTTTTCTAAGGGAAATGTTGCTTGGTCTGTGCATCAATTAAGCAATTGTGGAGAGATGAGGGGATAAATCAGATTTAGTACAACTCGGACTTAGCTTAGGGGTCTTTTTTACAAGTTCTAATTCTGATTCTAATGCTTGATCCAACAACACTACAGTACCAACAAAAGCAACACCAACACTAACAATGACAATGACACTGACACTGACACTGAAACTCCAGGAACTACCGCCGTTGGTTTACCACAAAGCATGCAGTGATTGTTGTACGATTGCGGTGGTCTAATACTAGGATGAAAAGCAGACATTATTCTCCAAGGAATATAACCTGAGTTACACGGAAAGACCAGTCAGTCACTTATGGATCCTTCGACCAAGAAGCTTATTCTTCTGCTACCTTAATATTCTTGATGGCCCCCAACCCCACGGAATCTCTTGACCGAGGCTGCAACTGGTAGCACGGAGATAAATGACCTCGCAGATCAAATCTCGGTGTGGAGATGAGCTTTTTGTGTTGTTAGTGGCTATGAATACCTAAATTTATTTCGAGCATCACATTTGGTGCATGGCGAGGGAACTTTTGGATCGATTAATTGCAATATCACATTGGTATCGAAAAGATTGGAATGGAGTTTATAGAGAAGTTGTCTTCAAAATTTGCTATACAAAATACAAAACAATGAAAGGATAAAATACTAATCGTACTGGGTATTTACGTTAGGGTCATTCCTTCATTTCTACCAGCAGTAAATCAAACTCCGTACACTCCTGACTCCCGCTGATTTGCTCCTCGATATCTTCCATCGTTTCCAAGCAATGCCAAATACCATCTAAAGCGAGTGTCGAGCACTTCGAACTCTTATCTCATATATCCCAAGCAAAGAACCAAATATCCTAAATCGTCACTTTGATACCCTCTCATACCTGCGGCATCATGCGAGGCGAAGGAGGCATGGAAAGGGGGGTAGTGGGATATTGGTATCCGCCCTCAGAACATGTGGTAGAATGCTCATAAGAATGTGATAGAGGTGGCGTCTGCATATATCTGTTAGGACCCGAAACAAGTGGCTTCGCAGCTTGAGGGTGCCTTACATGAGGATTATCATATCCGTGGTGTGAATGAATATCGATTGCTGGCAAGCCTTGGTAGCTCATATTGTATGGACTCATGGTGTTTTCAGGTTCTCGCTTGACTGCGTCGTTGAAATGCATCATGGAAGGCAAGGTCACCGGCACAGGTGCCATGTAATGTTGGTATGATGCCTCTGATCGGTCACTGTCGGAAACTGCACGATATGGCTGCGAATGTGGGTATGGTGGGTATGAAATTTCCTCTGGAGCAGGGTATGTATGATATGTGAATAGAGGGGGTGTTCTCGATCCATCACGATCGAAATGTTGAGAAAAGATGATCTCGTCATCGCTGTGCATAGGAGGTGTGTATTGGCTAGGCAAAAGTCTTGGGGAGACTTGTCGTTGTACTTCTTCTGGGCTCCTTCTGTATTGTTGATTCTCGTTGATGCGCTCTGGCTGTTGATGAAGCTCCGCATGCGTTTGAGGTGGGGAAGCTGATGAGGAACCGGCTCTACGCTCAAGGTCTTCGAGACGTCTCTTGAGCTTCTTGCCTTGAAATAAAGAATCAGTAACGGTTGATAATTTGGAGCTATGAATGAACAACTTACGGTAGTTTCTTTGAGCAATACGGTTCTGAATTCTTCTCCGCTCAGCAAGATCGGAGATCTTTGTCCAGTCTTCATCTGGATTGGCAGAGCTGCTGAAGGCACTACTGGTGCCGTGGGTTGTCATATGTCTGGCGGTGGTTGCCGTGGAGTACGAATAACTGTGTCGAGACATGTTGATAGATTTTTAAAGGTAATGGAAGTATATTGATTGAGTATCAGAGGACAGAAGGTTGAAGATTTAATCTGAGGCTTGGAGGATTTGAAGGTCTGTTATAACAAGGTCTTGAGCTGCCCTACACTGGGGGGCATTCCTCCATATATATGTGAATGCGGGAATACCAGACTGACGCAGCTATACGGAATTCCCAAACCACTTGGCCCCGAATCCTGGCGCCCTTCTTGCTCAGCTACTCTACAACACAAACGACGAAACCCTGTTCAAAGACCCTAGAAGAAGTAAATTCCCTGCAACTACTTTAGATACCCTGCACAGCATGCCCCCCTTGTAAGCCACTTTGCACACCCTGTTCAAAACGGCCGGGAGGTGCGCCGTGCAGCTGGGGCAGTCGATGGCTGCCACAGACACACACACATGTCCTTTAGACACCGAGTCCAAACCCAAAGGGTACATAACATTCATCCATATGCATGAGGCGTACTAAAGATCCAATTTTGTAGTCAAAATCTCTCGGATTGGAAATGTGGATTAATTAAGGGCCATTAATAGATTTCCGCCATATCACTCATATCGCCAATGTCCATCTCATAAAGCAGCAACAACCTTCAATCTGAAATAATTCGTCAAATGGTGTTTCAAAAAGTAGGTAAATTTAGAAACATTTCACTAATTTGACCAACTTTTTTGATTCCAGAGATAGAATCATCAAAAATTGTATAGGGAACAGCTTACTGAAATAAATCTATATCTTGCCAGCCCGCCAGCCCACCAGCCCTATGGCAGTAGAATGAAAAAAACCACAAAACTATTTCTGATGCCTTTTCTCAAACCATGAACCATGAATTGAACACACGAACGTACGCACAGTCTCCTAACTACTATTTACTCACTGACCACTTAGATCTTCTATTTCCCCATATTAGGTATTCTCCTCGTTCTTGCCTTTGTGATATGAATGTTAATTATAGATATAGAACAGGTAGCTCGTACTAGTATTCATATTCATCTCATAGATAGTAATTAAGTAGGTAGGTAGTACTATCTACTATAATTGATATATAATTCATTCACCTATTAACAAGATCTAACTAATGTCTAATGATTAGTAACTAATCATGGCGACAACTAATCTAAATACCGTTAATAGTCTCTTATTGTATATCCGTACTTGGTATTAGCTATGACCAGATATTGTAGTCATTGAAAGACATTTCTCGTCACAAATCGCAAATCCATATCGGTACTCAAAATGGTTGCCTGATGAATTCTATTGAAATCCACACTAGGACCCCTAGTACCCCTAGTACAAACGAAACCCCTCGAGGCCAATAAACGACGCGATAGGCACTCTTCACTGGATTAGTTACGAGTTGCGGAAGCATTATCAGACATTTCGAGAACATCTTGGCTATTCTGGGCTCTAATTCGTGAAAGCATAGCCTTCTGTTCTGGGATTGGAGGCTCCATTTTGATACATCGGACCATGAGTAAACATTTAACATAGCACCTAACTAGTAGGCTTGTGAGCAACCCTTCTTGCTTTACTTTACGATGCCTACTCGAACGACAATCACAGGAATCTTTTGAGGTCGCCGAAATCGTCGCAACCATGGCGGAATCTAATTATGGAAATCTTTTAGATATGCTTCACCATGACGCTGAATACAGTACCTACAAGATTAACTTTAGTGGTTTTGGGTCAGTCAGTATATACGTAAAGCTACGAGTACTGCCAGTGTAGATTAATTACTGAGGAAAGATCCCCTATAGGTCCCCTAATATAAGGTTGTCTTGACGGATTTAATCACTATCGCCATGCAGTCAGTCAGTATGAATCTCGCATTTTTTCCATCGTAAATCGTAGCGGATATCGCGATATCCTTCAATTATTCTGACTGGCTGGCTTTTGTTGTTCGTTATTCATTATTCATTATTCATTATTCGCTCTAAGCAAATCAATAACATTTATGAGCCATTCGAGCCATTCTAATCAAGCCAAGAACATTCTTTAGCATGTTTGAGATTGACATCGCCGTCTACTGTAATTGAATTAGGGGAAAATTGGATCCCCTCCCCTCGCAAACACCCATCCTTGCCGTGTCACGCCCAGCCCTGGGAGTACACGTGCTTTGTCATATTTCTATTTATTTCGACCGCCGATGACCAAGATGCCTGGGACGAGAGAATAGATTGATTGGATAATAGACCGAAGACAACAAGGAAAAATAAAATGCTACCATGTTTCTTGGGAACCACTCCACACACCAACCATCACATCACTGCAAACCCTTGAAACACGCATACACCCCAACCTCTCCGCCATCAATCAAAGTCCACACCGCAGAAAAATAGGCTGCATGGAGCATCTTGAGCCCTGTTATGCACTTTTTAGCCAATCACCATTGCAGTTTAATGCTTTAGCGAGCGAAGTCGTAATTCAACGACGGTGAGAAAGTCGAATAGTAGCGGGATACAACAATTTTATGCTCGCAATACGAAATTGGAAGATGATTAATGAAGCATCCATACGTTCTCGCATCGTTCATTCCGGTGCGACCGAAGAATTATTGCGCATGACACCATTGACCGCTCAGCCCTACCCGGTCGCCATCTTTCCCAGATGCCAAAATATTCCTAAAGTAGGATGTTGTGTTGTCTTTCAACATTATCCACCGCAACGACGACGAATAAAATTGATTTCCGCAATCATTAGCTTTTCAACACAACGATAAAGTCGCTATCTTAGGCATCAAATGGCTTCGAGACCTCCTCTACGACTTGTTTTGAGACTGGATTCCTAGAAAATGGGGGTGATCGAGACCGGGGTTTAGGACGCGGTTACACAATCTTTTGCGGTGAAGACTATCTTGTCCTTTTGCCATGAACGATCGGCAATGAATACCATATGAATTGTCGGATTTACGGCAAAAGTGTTCCAGATTTCATGGCGAAATTCATGTCTCCCTTCACTGATGGTATCCTAAATCCGGGTGTATCAGCCAGAATAGCCCGTCAGGAATATTGTTAGCTACGAGCCTGCCATAACTCGCCTGCCGCCTTTTCTCCTTAACGTCCCCCCTTCATTTCGATAGCTCATTCCTATGAAGAAAGTCTGTTTGTTTTTGTTCCTATCATTATGCTATCTATCCCCTTTTCCGCCGATAATCATCAGCAGAGTGTTCGCCTCTTCATATTTAGAATGTGTCTTTCCAATTCGAGTACTAGATTGGATATCGTGCCAAAAGAGACGAGAGCAAGATATTTTTATCAGACTACGAATCTAGTGATGACTGTTCCTGAATATTTCAGCCTATGAAAGATGACGGAAGCTTGTTCAGTGTCTAGTTCCCAAAATCCACTTCGGAGAATTACTGTCTACCACAAATTGTCTGTACCCCAATAGCAATCGCAAGATGAACCGAGTTTCAGGGGGCTGTTACCGGGTCTGTTCAAGGGCTCACTACTTTGAGTATAGGGGCTGTAAATTATGGTTCCCAATTCGATAATACTGATTTCGTTTCGTGGGTTTATCATCACAAGTTTTTAGAAGTGGCATCTCTCGCCCGAGATGTATTTTTCAACAAGGGTTTAGATCCATATACTGCTCTCTGATATGGCACAGATACAATAAGATTGTTCGAAGACTAGTAAGACCCTGGTAACCTCTCATTTAGTACTCTCATATGGAAGGGAAGTCCACAAGAAACCCAAAATTTTCTTGTAAGATAACGAAGAATACTACATCCAGATCCAGACTTTTGGGCCTTTTCTCAAAGTGGGCGGAATGCCGTCCTCTCGAGTCACCCCGTGATTGGGAATCGTTCAGGGGTATCATTGAATCTCCCGCGTGGTTTCCAGGATCTTTTTCTTACGGATTACATGAGACATGCGGAACATCTCATACCATAGCATGATATCCCGTTCCTTCCATCATCTCATCAATCCAGAGTAAAGTAAGTACCCGATGCTCTGTCATCCAGTCATTCCTTTATCCTCTGAAGTCTTATGTGATATCTTAGTTCTACACAAGCACTCCGTCACCGCTAAAGATGATTCGAGCACGTTTTTCCAAGCGTGGCACGCTTGGTCAATATGAGAGTAAGCACAAGCAACCCAAGCAAAACCAAGATCTCATCGAGTCCCTCCTCCAGAACTGTTGGTATACAATCATCGGTTAAGGTTCTGACACCATGCCCCGCTGCGATTTATTGATATGTGGATATACAGCGAAGATTCCCAGTGACAAAGTGCCGGGATGGAAAAAGGGCTGAGCAACTAGTTTGGGCTAAAGGTGCCCGGGCGTGGCGTCTTCACTGCATCGTTTGTAGTATAGTGATATGTGATGGCCATGGCAATTATAAATAGATTGATTCTTGTGTACCTACATATCACAGCGCATGTTACTGCCGATTTTGGAAGAGTACGAAGTTTAGCCTATCGTCTCGTACCTTTTTAGATATCAACAATTCTAAATCGATATTGTCGGACGGCAGGCTTATTGGAATTTCAAATCGATCGTCTGTCTCAACGTCTAAACAAGAATTAATATCAAGCTTCAAGCTTTGATACATAGATGGTCCATGGATGAGCGAAAACTAATACCTGTGAACCAGCAGACCGTTGATCTAAAAATTTATTTAAAGTGAGCCTTGGGTCTTGGGTCTTGGTCTGAGACAGACGGCTCCGCTCGATCGAAGGCTGAGAAACGGGGACTCCACCGCGTCATCAAAATGTGTCTTGGACCTTGCGCGCTATATCCCTAGCTTTAGTGCTGTGGTAGGCTTCCAAAAAACCGTCAATGGTATACTTACCTTACTTATGCATAAAACATATCATATAATACTAAACACTAAAACCGTATATCCGCGATCTCCACATTCTTCACATTTCTTAATCCTCCGCATGGATATTATATACTCGAGCAATACCATTTCCATTTCAATTTCCATTTCCATATAGTGCACCCAGAATATCGCAAAGAAAGACTGCAAGCA